AGGAACTGGTTGAAGTTAAAAGTCTCTGAGGATCCAGATTATCCTACAATTTTTGTGCATGATATTTTAAGTTGTTTTATGAAACAAATTGAGGGAAAAAAAAGTAAAAGCAATGCCTGTACATTTGTGTCTTGTTTCCAGGATTGGGGTTTATGACTTTTTTTTTTTTTTAGTTGTTTGCTTAATCCCTGGAATAGCAAGATGTGCTYGAGGGATTTTATTTTTCTCTCTGTGTTGTTTTGCAGTGAACTCATCCTGTTAAAGAGATCTCAGTGCTGAAGGGAGGGGTCACTCAGATGCTGAGGCAGTTACTACTGTTCCCACTGGCTTGCAGGGATTCAAGGAAGATCTGTTTTCAGGATTGGATGAATTTTCTATAACTCAACCTCCCTTCTCTCTATACAGTACCTCCAGTGAAGCAGAATTAAGGCTTGGCTGCAGATTTCATTGAGAATTCTATACAGCAGTGCCTGAAATAGCCCAAAATGAGTCATGTGGTTGCCTCTTTGCCTGTGTGGCTTTGTTCACTGTGCACAGAAACCAGGAGGGGGCAAACCCCTGGACCACGAGCATCTTTTGAGTTTGCATTGTACTGCACACAAAGCAGATTTTGCAGCAAACCTGTAAAGAATTCCTATTAACCTTGTAGTGGAAAATTGAGCTGTTGAATGTTGCTGCTCAGGCTGTCCAAGAGCTGTTGGTACCAAGTCCAGATGGAGAGGGGACATACTGCCTGTGAATTCCCTTTCAGGAGCTGAAACTCTGTGCATTCACACAGCTGATAGATTTTTTCCCTTTTCTTTTTAAGTTTTTTTTACAAGAAACTAGTGAAATAAAGCAAAAGATTGATTGGATTGAGTGGCTTGGTTAGCCTATGAGGAGGAAAAAAAAAAGATTGGAAAAAGAGATTTCACCCTTCAGGACTTGTGAGGAAAAGCACTGTGCAACACCACTGCCTAGGCTTTCTGTAGAAAGGGAAGATGAGTCCTCCTGAGGATCCTGCCTGGTTTAGAAATCATCTTTTGATCAAAACAAGGCTAGCAGGGAAAGCTGGAAGGCTTTGCCAGGGACTGATGTGTGGCTGTCCTGTCCTTTGCATGGCTGCTGTATTATTTCTATGTGTCCCCATGTGCCTTGGGACTCAGTTGCAGTTTCCAAGTTGTAGAATAGGTTGTTTTGGGTACAACTCCCCAAAAATCATCCCAATCCTTTAAATTTCCTTTGGCCCTCATTTTCTTTGAATCTTCTGCTCATATCTTTATCTACCTCCTGGTTATTATGCTCTTGATCCCTGTCTGAGGGGACAAATTAATTGGTTTTTTTTTTAGAAGATGTTTTCTGTTAAGAAAGTGGAGGGACGTGTCCTTGTTATGCCATGTATTTTATTTTTTGCCTTTCCTCTACTACTTTTAAAGTCACTTTTGTCACCTGGCCATCAGGAGGTACCTTGTGTGATCAAGGWCTTGGCTTTCCACATCCTGTGCTCTGAATTCCTGCTGGGAGAGCATTGCTGGTTTGCAGTTCAAAGGAACACCAGRGCCAGCCAGAGTGACAGCATTTACTGAACAAAAAATCTCATACTCTGCTGTCTGTGGGCATTTTGTTCCACTGTTGCCCCAGGCAGGTCACAAAGGCCACGTGGGCTGTGGGTGCATTTGTCTATAGATCCTTTTGGGACTGCAAGCACAGCTTCTGTGTGTTTCTGATGAATTTTGTCCCTGCTCCACTGCAGCTTTGATGGGACCATGTTGGTCTCCTGTTTCMCCCTTGGCCTGTGCTTTCACCCTGGGAGCTGATCAGGAGATCCTGATGGGAACACCCCTGGGTGTTACCATTAGAAATGGTTCTGATGCTCACCAGGGAAAATTATTTTAATCTGAATCTGTGTGCAGAATGTGCCACAGGATTGTGGTTGGACACTGTTCATGAAACCTTTCAAATTTGCTGGAGAGGAGGAGGAAACRCCCAGGAGAAGCTGTCAGGAGAGACCCCCAATTTCTCCTCACCAGCCTGACACTCAGACTGTGCCCAAATGGAAAATATGCTTGTTCTGAGTGAATGTAGGATCTTCATCCAARTCTGAGTCTGAGAAACCTTCTGTTTCTGATGTCACACTGGCAGGAAAGACTTCCTTCTGTCAGATTTAAGTATGTCTGAAAAAGGAATGTACTTTGTCATGTTCACTTCAGGAAACTGAATGAAGCAAAAACTGCTTCAGATTTTTTCTGTGTTTGGACAGAACCCAGATGCTGGGCAAAAGCCTTTGGTAAATGAATGGAGGAAAATGTGATATTGGGGGAGTTTTGTTTTATTTTGGATTGACTTGGGGGTGAGTGTTCTGAGTTGTGCAAGATGTTTTGTTGTTTTGGATTTTTTTAATACATTGCTTTTATTGTTCCAGGAAAAAAAGTCCTGATATTCTTAAATTTCTTCAGTTTGTAGCTGCTTATTTTCTACATCACTTGTATTTTCCAGCTAAGACCTGCTGAGTTTTCTGRTGAAAAGGGGTGACAAAATTTCCTTTTGCAGGGCATATATTTCCTGAAATAGCTTTTCTATCGAGCAAGAGGAGTTTAATTTAGCTAAATTGCTCACTGATGATTTACCCGATAATTTTATCATGTCCCGTACTTGAGCACATATTCTTGGATTTATCAGGAGAAAAGCTGGCTGGTGGATAGAAGCTTTGCCCTGGTTACATTGTAAGTAGACATCTCCCTGGAGATGAGGTGTAAATGTCGTGTTGCTGATTAGCATCTGGCATGGGGCAAGCAAAGAGAGGGATGCCTCAGTTCAGTCTCCAAAAAAGAGAAACTGGAGTAATTCCTGAGCTCTGACAGCATTACCTGGACAATGCCATTCTCAGTGTTTTCTGTTCCTGGTTCTGGTTTTTGGCTGAGCAGTGGTGTTTTCCCACCCAGAGAACAGCCCATGTTTTCATGTGCCTTGATTGTGCCTGGAGGAGTTTAGACCTGACTCTGTTGTCTTCCTAAGCAAGTGGAGTTTTTATCCTGTAGAACTGAAATCCTGGCATGTACAAAAATCCCTCATGTTCTTTTTGGCTGCAGCAGGATCCAGGAGGATCCTGGAAAGGAAAACTTGCTGGAAAGTCCCATCCTGTCTGGCTGCTCACCTGTACTCTGGTTCTTCCTGGGAAGGTGATGATGACAGAATGTCTTGGTTTAAAAACATTGAAGGCATGGACTCCAAAATGAATTTACCTCCACTTTTAGCTTTAACCACTCCCTTTTCACCAATAAGGAGAGATGAGGTGTGGAAATGTCACTGGAGTGACAYTGCTCTGCTGGAGTTGATGGAGTTCCTTAGCTCTGCTGTCAAATTTGCTGTGGGAAATACAAAAACCTGTTGAACCTCTCAACATGGGCCTTTCTTTCACAGCCACAGCTGGGTGACAGTGTCTTAGTCATGTATTTTTTCCTCCTCTTGAAAAATGACAGTTGCATTAGCTTGAGAAAGAAGGGCCTTAATTTTGACAGTCSGTGTTTCTGAAGTCCAGAATGTGGTTCCAGGGTGAGAGGAGGCAGACAGGTGATGGAGGCAGGTTTTGGGTGAATAAGAGGATTGCTTATTCCCTGTGAACACTCTAGCCATTGTGCCAGAAACTCAGCTGAGTGGAGGAGATTGGAATGTTTCATTTTTTTTTTTGCCGTGCTGGAAAACTCTTCCTGAGAGTCTTGGCTTTAGGACTACAAAAGCTTTTGAGATTTTGAACATTTTCGTGCATGATTAAACTATTTCCATTCCAGTTCCGTGTGTACACTCATATTTCTTGTGGAAATGCTTAAAAAAGAGGTTTTTAAGCTCTGTATTTGACAATTTAAACTAGCTGACAGTGGCCAAACCTTCTAAAGCTGGTGTGGAGCAAGTTCAATGTGTCAGCTCTGAAAATTGCCAAGTGGGAGATTAATAATTTCATGCCTTTTGGAAAAAATGTTCTCTGCTTTCAGCTGCCCTGCAGTTCCCAGTCCTGAGGACGGTTTGCTCACTGGCATGGAACATCATTCTTGCTCAAGACTGTCTGCTGAAAAGCAGCAGAAATTGTGTYGCCTCAAGGCATCCATGAATTTTATTTCTTGATTGCAGGGTTGGTTGAGAAACCTCAGTGCACATGAAATGTTAGTCATTAAAATCATTGCAAGAACGTCTTTATGTGAACATATGTGCATATACAGACATGCATATGAGTGTGTATTTGTTAGTTATTCTGATAYAATAAGGGAAATTTTGAGATACATTGCTTAACTAGCTTCTCTGTTACTTGATATTTTTTTTTTTGTTTGGTTTTCTTTTTTGTTGTTGGTTAGGATTTTTGTGGTAGCTTATTCTTCCCAATCAGAATACTCAAGAGAAAATAGAGATAAAGTGTTGTGGCAACAGTTCCAAAGTTGTTCAGGACTCATGGAGAATAATGCTGCAGATTATGAGATTTATTATGTTTTATAACTTGGAAAGGCTTGCTCTGCAGGGCAAGGAGAGCAAAAATTGCTCTCCAGGGCAATTGAGAGGGATGAACCCAAGGCAGAGTTCATACATGAGATCATGTGTAACTTTTTCAGTCTCATTACACACAGCTCCTCAAAATATGTGAAAATCTAACAGAACAAAATCTGATCGTGATCTAAATGGGAAGTACAGCCAGGCTGCTTTTTGGAGATGAACATGTGATATGTGTTCTAGAGATTCTGAAATCTCTTAAGTCAGCAGGAAAAAAAAGCTCGTGTTACCGAGGCTTTTAAAATGTAATCAGTAGGGAGTTTCTATTCCCTTTTTCTAAGCTGCATATCATCAACTGGTATTTTGGTTACTTCTGCTTCTCTCAAACATCTGAGGCTACACAAACTGTTTAAAATTAGGTTTTGTTTGAAGTGTAAATGACCAGATTTTCAAAAACACTGAGCACACAGATCACTGTGAAAATTGCTCTGTAAAAATTCTGCTGTGTTCAGCTCTAATTTTTTTATTTTTTTCCTTTTATACAGGCGATACGGGTTATGGTTTCGATTGAGGAAGTTACTGCTCTGGTTGCTGGGAATGTACATAGCCATCCCATTTCTAGTCAAACTTTGCCCTGCTATTCAGGCAAAGCTGGTCTTCCTAAACTTTGGTAAGTGACTCAGTGTTTTGGGTGGGTGAGGGGACAAGGGGAGGAGTGTCTTTATCTTTTRTTTGTTTGCCTTTACTTTACCCTGCATATGAACTTTCACAGGTTGTAATCGCCCCAGACTGTGGTTTGGAAAGYATTCTCTGTGGCCCTGGTGGTTGTTGTAGCATGTAATTATATAAATAGAGTGACCAAACTGAAACCAATTTTCAGATTAKGACATATGAAATATGTCAGATGCGTTTTCCTGAAGGGCTCAACAAAGGTGTATGAAGAGACAGCAAGCAAGTGAAATTAAATCCAGCAATCTAAATTTGCATTTAAACCTCACTTTTAATGTTTTGTAATGAATTTTTGAAAAATATCTTCTTCCTCTGATKGTAGAAGCTAGAAGGACCAACTGTGGATACATTTTTATGTAATTTGTGTAATTTTGATTGCATGCTTTGCATGTTCTCACACCTCGGATGGTGGTTGCTGTGAGGTGAGCACGTGTGCAGGACACCAGACAGCTGGGTGAGCTGAACAGTGCAGGTTTCAGGGATGATTTTAATTTGCTTTTACCCTGAAGTTCCTGCTTCTATTCAAAATTATTGTCCTGTAGCATGTTCTTGTCGCTGTGTCTGCCAGGTTTCCTCAGTATGGTCTCCAGGACAGAGATTTCTGGGGAAGTTGCCCAGAACTGCCCTGGGGGTGGATAGTCATGAGTAGCATGGAGAGTGAGAGAAAATGGGCCAGCTTTTGAAGGACTTTTCTGCTCCAGTGGTTTTGGATGTTCACCCCTGAAGAAGTATAGGACCCTGATGAAGTGGCAAAATATTTGGAGGAAATCACTGTGGCAGTTCTGAAGAGGGGGAAGTATAAGGATTCAAAGAAGGAGTGATCCCCTATAAACCCAGGTGACATCCAGTGCACACAAACCATGCTGGAAGTTCCTATGGAGCACACCAGGTCATATGTCAACTCATTGGCAGTGGTGCTGTGGGAAGGAGGAGAACAAAAAGTGAACAATTCGGTTCCCAAACTCCAGCTATGTGAAGAAACCATCTCCTCCCTGGTATGGGCCTGCATCTCCTCCGTGGAAAGTGTCTAAGGAATAAACAAATTTAATTTAAAAGAGAATCGCTAACAATTCAAGAAAAATGTTTCATGTCCCACCAGTACAGACCAGAGCCTTTGCTATTATTAACAGGCACCTCCCTGCTTGAGAGAGAGGGTTCACACCATGAGGTACCTTGGGCAATACAGCAGAGGAAGCTTTTGGGGAAAGGGGGAAAATAATCCACATCCTCCTGAAAACCAGCTTTGCCATGAAACAAAGTCAAGTAAGGGATCTGCCCAGGAAATTCAATTTTTAGGAGTAAAATGGCAAGATGGATGGTGTCCGATTCCAATGGACATGGCCAACAGAGCAGCAGCTGTGTCCCAGTGACCAACAGGAAGGAGACACAGAGTTTCCTGAGTTCTGTGGGTTTTTGGAGGATGCAAATCCCAGAGTACAGACAGACTGTGAGCCCTCTCTATCTTGTGGCATGGAAAAAGAATGATTTCAAGTGGCCTGTGGGTCAGACAGGACAGGCTTGAATCATAGATTTGCCAAATCAGCTAACCCACCCCACTGATGAAGCAGAGATTTATAAAGCAGGCTGGACAGACATGGTTAAATCTGTGTCAGAGGAAATTTTGTCCCTCTCCTGCAACCTTCTCTTAATTTTAGCCTGTGCCCTGTTTTTTTGGTGGTTGCTTGTGTCTTCTTACTTTGCTTTGCTGTTCATCTTTTGAATGACAGCTGCAACCAATTCATCTTTCTACACAAAAAAATTTTCCCAGCACAGTGGACCAGTTTCTACAACTCTCCAGTGCCTTGGCTAAGCAATTTTGTAAGAAAATAAAGGTAAAAATTAAAATCAAAACGCTTCTTTTTTTTTTCTTCTTTTTTTCAGTGAGGGTCCCATATTTCATTGACTTGAAAAGACCACAGGATCAAGGTTTAAACCACACCTGCAATTATTACTTGCAGCCAGAGGAGGATGTAACCATTGGAGTCTGGTAAGGAAGCCAGTTCTGTGCAGTATGTGCCATGCATCTTTATCCTTCTTTTTGTTCTCAGTGCTGCCTATTCAGTCTTTTTGCTGTGCATGCTCTCATTTGTGGATGTTTGTGTTTTCCTCTGCCAAGTGACCGAGTTCATGTTGAAAAGTATGCAAATCTCTGGGGCTCATCKGAGCTGGGATCAGCAWTKCACAAAATGCAGTCAGACAACCTGAGAATTCAGGGAAACATCAAGATTTGGAAATATAAAGATTCCAGGTCTGCATCGCCACAAAGATCCTGCCTCCAGATCAGACCAGACCCAAGGAGTCAGACGTTTTGTCATTCAGCTCTGATTCGTATTTTGTTTTGCAAAACACATKTGGGGGAAGATGGGAAAACAGATCAAAGTGTTCAGAGTGGGAGGAGGAATATTCTGTGGAGGAATATTCATAAAACATATGTAAGATTTGGAGAGTGGGTGAGAACAGAACACACAGTTTACTCTCTTCACAAAAYAAGTGACAGTGTCAGAGCTAATTTGTCACTCCATTCTCACAAAGATAATTTTCTGGTCCCAGATAGGGATGGTTCATTTCAGCTCTGTGTTACCCAGGATCATATCAGGGATGGAGGGAAGGGGATGTTCCTTGATCTGTGAGGATTTGAAATTTGAAGTTGTGTGTGACCTGGATGTGTCCTTTAATGCAGTAGAGRTTTTCTCTTCATAGGGTATACAACCTTTAAATGGCATAGAGATATTCTTATATTAAGATAGTTCCCTTTAAGTAAATTCTGGTGAAAGTTAGGTTTAGAAACTTGAAAACTTCAGTCTTTYCAGGATAGGCTGATAAATAGTGGTTTGAGCCTTGGAGAATTCAAATTCTACCTGTTAGGCTGTTAAATGGGTTTATATTGCAGTCTTGAGATCTGTGTTTTGTTTCCCTTACAAGTGTATCTTTACTAAAACAGAACTTCCAGCTTGTGCTGGCAATTCAAAGGCTGTCATTTGTCTTAATATTTATGGGAGATTTTCACAAAAGTTTGGAACCTTGTTTTTTAACACCACTGCAAGGTCCTGTGTTTGGTGTATCTATGAAACCAAGTCCTCAGCCTGCTTTGTTCATAAATTTGAAAAAGTCTTGGGGTGGAATGGGTGAAGACTTTTTGAGTCTCACAGTTATTGAGGCTTTTTAGTTCKTCAAGACTTTGGTGACTGCTTACAGAAGTCTTTTTACATTGCTTTCCACCTGTTAGTTTGTCCTCTGAGTTTAAGATCTGGATAGGATTGGTGTGGTAGGTGGAAGCTTGTCTGCCTTTAAGGGAAAAAGGCATGTGAGTACTTAAATTACTTAAAATACTTGAATTCTGATAGCTTCTGAAACCAGTCCCCTTCTCAACAACCGAGATTGTTACAGGCATGTACTTGCTTTGTGTTTGTATTCTAATTATCCRGTTTAATTGCCTACCTTCTGTTGAGTTTGTCATTCCCTTTTCTCTTCCACCTCTGTTGAATTCTTTCTAGCAGGCTGCCCAGCTACATTATCTACAGAAGAACAGCTGTGGGTTAAAAATTCCTGGCTCCTTTAGATTGTAGCTTTTTCAGCTAAAATGTTACACCTTCAAGAGCCAAGAACAAAACAGGATTTTCTCCTCAGACTGTGGGCCCTTCCTTTCCCTCAGATTGGCTGTGGAGTCTGATATGCCTCTTAATCACTGAATGTTCTTTCCAAACCCAACTGCCTTTGATTATTCTGAACATCTGCTGACCTAGCGGTGAATCTTGTTTATGGTATATAAATATGTTAATTGAAGTAATTAAGTGCCATRAAAGCTGAGGAATTGAGATTCTTTCTCCAGAGCAGGAGTAGGACGTTCAGTAATTGTGCCTTTGAAATTTGGTGCCTTGCACAGCCCTAGGTTTGGGGTGAAAATGGTGATGGGAGGTGAAAATGTAGAAATAACTCTTCTTGTGTTTTCAATTTGGCCATTTGTCACTGATCAGGGCAGTTTTGTGAAAAGCTTGTGTGATGTGTGTAACCCTGAGCTAAGGAATTGATCAGAAAACCTCAAAATTCAAGCAGCAGACCCTTCAGTGTGGAGTAGCATCAGGACAGTGAATTTTCCTCCTGCACACAGGCACACGGTCCCTGCAGCCTTATGGAAAAATGCCCGAGGGAAGGACCAGCTGTGGTTTGAAGAGGCTTTGGGCTCCAGCCATCCTGTGATCCTCTACTTGCACGGCAATGCAGGAACAAGGTGAGGCACAGAACACTGATGGCTTCCTTTCAGGATGTGTTTTCCTGGATTGTCACTGCTTCAGCACGTTTAGAAAGAGAAAAACTTAGAGCCTGTAGTGATGGGACAAGGGATAATGGTTTAAAACTAAAAGGGGGTCGATTTGGATCAAATATAAGGAGAGGTGGTGGATGCCCCATCCTGGAAACATTCAAGGTCAGGCTGGATGGGGCTMTGGGCAAASTGATGTAGTTGAAGWTGTYCCTGCTCATTGCAGGGGATTTGGACTAGATGGCCCTTTGAAGGTCTCTTCCAACCCAAACTATTCTATGATTAAAACAAAATAAAATCTATAATCAACTTGGTGCTTCCCCTTTTAAGAGAAGACACATAAGTTATATGAAATGATCCCTCTCCATTTACTGAATGTGGGAATAGATTTATTGCAGTTATCTGATATTGTAATTTACCTTGTAGCCTCTCCCAGAGTCCAGGAGGCTGAATTGAGACATGGGGTAGTATTAGCGCTTCTCTATATGTGACTCACAGGCATTAAATAAACCTTCCAGTTCCTTTTGGGAGTTTATTTTAGTAGTTAACACATTCTGAGGAAGGAAAAYCAGAAGGAAAGAGGAAGGCTGTGTGCTGATCTTGTTTCATTATTGAACATTTGTCTGGACCAGGAGCACTTCTAAAATTYGTTATTTTAGTAGTTCACTTGTATTTTTTGCCTTTATTAGGTGTAGCAGGTGATACTAATGGAAGCTTAGTGGTGGCCATTTGGGGCCAGTTGTGTACATATTGATTAGATTTCCTTCTTCCTTTGCTTTAGAGACTTCACAGACCAAGACAGTCACAATATGAAAATTTTAAAGTTTTCATGGATTCAAGAGTACGTTTACTCATATCAGTGCAAAAGTTTGAGTATGGATTAGCCATGTCATGGCGTGCCTTGTATTTCAAAGTATGTAATGGCACATTCACATTCATTTCCACTGCCTATAAACCCTCCATACATTATGCAGATTCTTCCCCTGGACTTATTTACAGTGCTCAGTCCTGTTTTTCTCTGCTCACTTTTTTGCACATGTCCTTGCTTGGAGCCAGGTGAGAAAATCCAAGGCTCACCTGCTTGGCTTAATGTCATGATTCCTGCTGGGAGCATCACACTTTGGAGAGTCAAGGCTCCTGGCTGGGGACAGCTCTTGTGGCAAGAGCTCAGGGTATGCAAAGCCAAAAATGAGAAGCTGTTGTGATGTATTACAGCCTTTGGAAAAGGCAGATCCCAGGCTRGGTTGAAAAGTTCATTTTTACCTGCTGTGAGGTGAGATTTACATGGAGRAGTTGACTTCAGAATTATTACTTCCATAGCTCAGCAGAGCCTGGCTGTCTCCTTGAAGCCTGTGACAAAGCTGTTGTGGTGTTTCTTATGTTTGGCATGTTTTTGTTGAAATTATCTTAGACAATTGGGAAGTATGTTTCTGGGAACTTAAATGCTCCCATGTGGTTGATTTGGGTTGATTTTTTTTTTGTTTGTTTGGTTGGTTGTTTTTTGTTTGGTTGGTTGGTTTATTTTATGTTTTTCCTTTTTTTCCTCTCCTTTTCTCTTCATGAATTGTCCTTGCCAGAGGAGGGGATCACCGTGTGGAGCTTTACAAGGTGAGTGGCTGCCTGTGCTGTCCAAACAGTTGCATGAACCCATCAGATGTGCAGGGAGTTGAGAAGACAGCTCAAAACATCCCACTGCCAGCAGGCACAGCTCTTRGGGCTCCCAGTGTCCTTTAAATAGGAAATCTCCTGTATGGAAAAATTTCCTGTAAGCTGTGAGCACAATTATCTATCTTCAAAGATGTTTGAAAGGTCTTTTATTWKCTKTTGTTGACTGCCAGCTGCAACTGAGCTAAACAACACAGTTTCTGGGAAAAATCAAAAGTTTTATTGAATTACAGCTGCAATTTGATTAAGTCAGTGTACTAATTGAAGGTGCCATTTGAGAGTGTTCAGCCTGAATTTCCCCTTTACTCATGGCACAGTGCATTTGTRTGAGTGGTGCCATCTCAAATGCAGAAAGTTTTGTAGAAAACCCAATGAATTTCCCAGGTGTAGCACTATGAGTTATGTGAGAACAGACAGCCTCAGTTGCTTTGAGTGTTTTGTCTAATGGCTTTTGGGGTAATTGATTTTATTAAATTGTCTTTTGGCTGAAATTTTCACACACAATTTCTTGGTCTCATATCATGGGTTTCTAGAAGAGCCATAATTGTTTTTGCTGGTTCATTTCAGAGAGGTCTGAGTCTGTTTTTTTCTTCTCTTTATAATTTGTGTCAGTGTTGGCATTCATAAAGCACTAATGCAAGATCCCCTGCTGCAGTCTTTTAAATCAGATTGCTTAGAAAATACTGTTTAGCAACCCCAAGGAGGCAGGTGATCTTTCATTTCCTTTAASAAAAAGCAAGATGAGCTCAGCTGCAGAAAGTTGGCTGAGGAGATTGTCATGTGTAGTGATCTGTTTGGTGTTTTTTCTGGGAACCAGCCTGTGCTGTGATGCATTTTGTGCTGGCCAAGACAGACAGAGGAGTTGGGTTTGATTTTGATGGACAAGAGTAGTTGTGCTTCAGAATACTCACAGATTTGGGGTGTTTCTGTGTGTACCTATAGACAGAACACAGTTTACCAAACCCCAAGGTTTCTGTTCCTGGGTCTGGTGTTTTTTTGTTTCTGAGAACATCCAGACAAGCTGCTTAGCTTGCCTTTTCCAGTCAGTTACTCACACATGAACACACACMTGGGCTTAGCAGACCCACTCCAGCAGCTCCAGGTTTGTGTTTATTCCAGCAGAATGGAATAGTTTGGGATGATGTCCTTTTTGCTGGTGCTTTTACAGGCCTTCAACACAGCCAACACACAGCAAACATATACAGAAGATAGGTGAACTCTCGAGAGATTAAATTATTTTTAATGGTCTGAAAAAGGTGAGATTGKATGTGATATCTCAGCAGTAAAATCACATTGTAAAGCTAAAAACCCAGCTATGCAGGAAGAAACTTCATGTTCTGCATGTCCAATCAGGCAGTCTAGTGTATAAAGGAACATATAAAAATGTCATATTGTGATTCCATTGGAAACATCTGTCCTGCAGCACCTAATTTCCTCTTTAGAGTGTAGAATAATACTAATGTTGCTTTTTAAATTCATGTATCATAAATAGACTGCAAGAGCAACATTGTAATTCTTTTGTGACTTTTTGTTGATTTTTATCTACCACGGAGCTGTTAGGTTCATATCAAGCAATGGTGGCTTGGAATGCTAGTATGGTTTTTCCAAGCAAGTTATCTGAAATTGGATGGTTTTACTTGCTTTTAATAGATTTTGTTAGGATTGCCATTGGCTATGACATAAATCTTCATAATATAGCAATTGCACATTTTTGGTCTGTACATTTAAGCCTTCTGAATTGGGCTTCTATAGGTTATGCTTCCATCTGTGTTAATTTTAGTAGTATAATCAAAGCATTTGTACTGTTTCACTGGAAAACATGAAGGTCTTTGTAGGGGAAACAGTAGGATATTTGCAGATCTTAAGGTCAAAGCTGTTAAAGGGATAATCAACAACTTAGGTAGCCTGGTATGAAGGCCAGGAAACAAACAGAGTAAAACCAGTGGGCTGAGATGATCAGTGTTTGGAAAGCTCTGTGCCTGCTGCAGTGAAAAGCTGTAAATTGGCCCTTTAACTTGTCAATAATGTTCTAAAATGAATCCTTGTACCTTGGCCTGATGCAGGAGCGTGGCTGGTGTGCAAGTCTCTGTAATGTTTCTCTGCCTTGCAGGTTCTCAGCTCCCTTGGGTACCATGTGGTGACGTTTGACTATCGAGGTACGTGGGCATCTTTCATGAACACTTGCTGTCAGATAATTAGATGTGGGTATTGCTGGTTTCTTTTTTTTTTTTTACCCTTATGGGCATCCAAGAACTTCTAGAAGTTTCTTTCCAGTGCTTTCATCTGTAGCACTGCTTCCTGCTATCCAGCTGGGTGGACTTTTACTCCTGTCTTCAAGCACAGGGCTTGATGATTTGGGGCAAAGGAGCAGAGAGTGATCCAGACACCCAGGCAGTCACAGCATCCACTTGAGGCACCTCCAGGTGCACATGTGGAAGCTGATAGGCGTGCCTGGGTGTAGTCCTTTTGGATAAGATCTAGTTGACTTTTCTAAGGTCACTCAGGGAGCTGAACTTGCACTTACTGCCTTTTAAAAGGGGAGATAAGACAGAGTGAATGATTTGCTAAGAATACTTGGCAGGAGACATGACTGCTTTGCAGCTCTGCACCAGCAGTTTTTACCTTAGTGTTTAAGCTATGGCTGTAGTGTAATGYCACTGTAGGTACAGGAAAGAAGTTAATCTATTGCATTTTTGTCAAGAAGACACCTGGGAGAGGTTTATTTGTAGGAGCTTGACCTGTTTTTCAGTCCTGCTGTCAGCTGGTTATTAAATATCAGAAGGAGGTGGAGTTCTGGCTGCTGAGCTTACAATGTGTGGATGTGCTGCAATAGTGATGGAGCCAAAACAGTCAGGAGGGTGGAAAATTGCTGGAGGGCACTGATCGAACAGCACAAAGTGATGTTRCACAGCTCTGAGCCATGCTGGGGTTTTGGCCCTAAAGCAGCCAATCCTGTGCTGCCAGAGACTCCACTTCCAAACTGATTACAYGGATGCAAAAGCAGGGAAGGTTTGGGAGCTGGGCTGTTGCAGCAGTTACCTTGAWGAAATGGCTGTGGATCAACCAGAGCTTTCAGCCCCGAATTTAGAGGTGCACAGTGAACTGGACACAAAGTGCCCATGGCCCAGGTCCCTTTGCAGTTGCAGATGGGCTGTATGGGAGRAGCTGGCTGGCTCTGCTGAGCAGTTTGGGCGATTCTCAGCAGGACTCTGTGTGTTCCAGGCTGGGGTGACTCCATAGGCAGCCCGTCAGAGAGGGGAATGACCTATGATGCCCTTCATGTCTTCGACTGGATAAAAGCACGGAGTGGAGACAACCCTGTCTATATCTGGGGACACTCCCTGGGCACAGGGTAAGCATCTCATCTTGGTGGCACTGAGCAGCTTCTGAAGAACATTAAACACTGACCTTGAATGAAGGTGCTGTTTGCTGTATTCCCTTCCCCCTTTGCAGAGGGAGAAGGGCTACAGKGAACCACTGCAGCAGTGGATCTTGAACCTTCATTATCCAAAGGGTTCACACTAGAAAACACAGAATAATAGATTGYAGACTGTCCTTCAGAGCAGAACATCAGACTTCTCTGGTACTCTGAGTGTGTCTCAGACCAGCCACAACAGCCTGCTTTGCAGTGAAACAAACACTGGGACAGGGAGGTATTTCAGGGTAGTGCCTCTTCATTGCTGTGACACCAAACACCCTGCTTTGTCTGAGAGAAGACAAAGAGTTTTTCTTTGGCTCGTCCTCTAGATTTTGTGCCCTGTTCAGAATCCCTTTCTGGGTCAGAGCACGCTTGTGATGTTTCCCAACACTGCAGTCAGAGTGTCCTGAGACTGGTCCCCAGCTGAGTTCTCCAGTGACCAAAGCCAGTCTAGAGTTCAAGGTTTGTGAAATGTGCTGTGCTTGGAGGATTTTGCAACTTTGGAAATATCCCAGTCCCATTAGGGTGATGCATAGGGGAGACTTTGGTGTTTTCTGTCCCAGGCGGGGAAAACTGGGGTGTAATTTGTGATGTGGGGTATGTGAGGCTGGTGGGAAGCCAGGTCTCTGTGGGATGGTGAAGGATGAATTTTGTGCCTGTTGAGCTGTAGCTGTGCCACCTCTGGAGCTGCTCTGTGCCAATTTGGTGCCCGTTCYTTGCAGGGTTGCGACGAACCTGGTGCGGCGCCTTTGTGAGCGAGGTGAGTGTGGCGCGTGGATGCGCTTCCTGGCACCTGTCCCTGACCTTTGTGGGGGTGACAGAGCTGTCCCTGGCGCCCCGTGGTGGCAGCTGCTCTCAGGGGCAGGCCCTGACCTCGCCGGCTGTCTGCACCCCTGCATTTCAGCGCGTTGCCTTTTCAGAAACGCCCCCGGATGCTCTGATCCTGGAATCGCCGTTCACCAACATCCGGGAGGAGGCGCGGAGTCACCCCTTTTCCGTGGTGAGTACCCAGTGACTCTCACACTGCTGGGCTGGGATTGTGGCACAGAAATGAACAGTCAGAAGTGCTTTAGGGCCAGTGGTGGTGTTTGTAAACATCAGGGGTAGAGAGCTACACTTGAGGCAGCTTTGGGGATCACACGATGAGCAATACCAGAGCTGTGTATCCACCATGGGAGTGAATTGACACTGAACTGAGCATCCCAGGCCAGGGCTCAGATGCAGCCAAGCTGGTGAGGTGCCCTGGGATAGAAGGCTCTTCCAGGAACAATTGCCACCAGTCCTGTGTGATACCTGGAGATTTTGACTGTGCAAGTACCCAGAGGGCCTGCTCCTGAGCAGGCTGGTAAAATGGACCTGAAACAGGCAGGAAAAATAATGCTGGTGGAAATGGGCCCTCTCACTGCAAAAAGCATGGTCAGCAGCCAAGGGATGTTATGGGATGGCAGTGGCCTGCCCTGTTAGTGCTGTTTGTGTCACTGGCCTGCTGGTGCCTGCCACTAATGCTCATTTTTCCTCTCAGATATACAGATACTTCCCTGGATTTGACTGGTTCTTCCTTGACCCCATCACAACAAGTGGAATTAAATTTGCAAATGATGAGAAGTGAGTTCCCTTTTTTCTGGGGGTTTCAGCTGTGGCTGCAGTAAGCCATGGCATGCATCAAGGAGGACAGATGTGAGACTTCACTCTCTGGCTTTTTTTTTTTTTTTTTTTTAAGAATTGCTCTTACTGGAGTGATTTCAATTACTCTCAGCCCTGAGAGCAGCACAGTGGAGTTCTTTCTTTTTAAATTGTTCATAATAAGGACAGATGCAACAGAGAGAACAGAGACTGCTYAGGGATATGCTGATTTGGTTCAGGCCATTTCTGCTTTTTGAGTGTAACCTTACACATTAAACAGTAGCTTTGAAACATGGAAAGATTGGGAAGATTCCTGTGCATTTCCCTAAGCCACCTTCCCTGGAATCATCACACTCTCCTTTCACTGAGTCTTTCATTGAAGAGCCTGAGCATTTKTGAGTTTCCAGTGTTGAAACCAAACCAGACCTTGGCGGGGGTGATGATTTACAGTAGAGTGAGCCACTCTTCTGTGGTCTAAGCAGCAAGCAGATTTTATGAGGATGTCCTTCAATGGTAAATTTTCTATAGATCAAATGAATGGTGCCTGGATAAGKTTTTGAATTGCAGTTAATAATTTACAGGACATGCTTGTCATTAGAGTTTCCTTGAAAATGCACTTGTTGGCATTGGAGAATGATGGCATTGCTCTGAGCCTTTGTGCCATTGTTGTCTGTTTTACAGTGTGAAATACATTTCCTGCTCCCTACTCATCCTTCATGCYGAGGATGATCCAGTGGTACCATTTCATCTGGGAAAAAAGGTACACGTGTGGCTCTTGCAAACTGATTTGGTGTGGGTGGAACATCCCAGCCAGGCAATAATTTAATAATAGCAAGGTGCAGAAATACATAGCTCAGAAGTGGTAAATAGTAGTGAAATGAGGCTGGAGTTACCAAAGCTGCTGGAGGGGGCTGTGGGTTTGGCAGGGACAGCCGGGTTGGAGTAATGCAAGCACCTCACCTGCCTGCCCTCGGTTCAGCTTTACAACATCGCGGCCACGTCGCGGAGTTTCCGGGACTACAAGGTGCAGTTTGTGCCCTTCCACACAGACCTCGGCTACCGGCACAAGTACATCTACAGGAGTCCAGAGCTACCTCGGATACTGCGGTAACAGGGCTGGGCAGGGCGGGGCAGGGCACTGGGGCACCCTTTGCTCAGTCAGAGCTCTCCACCTTCTTGCACGGCACATTTTGGGGAGGTGAGCCACAGAAATCTGGGAGGCTTTCTGGCTCGTCTCATCTGTGAGCTGGATGCTCTGCAGGAGCTGTTTGCTGGGCAGTTGCTTCAGCTTGGCTCGTTTAGTGGGAGCCTCTGGTGGTGTGAGAGCAAAGCTCAGTGCTGTTCCCTGTGGCTGCAGATGTTTGAGCCAGGGGAATGGGAAGCCCTGCAGGCTGTAGCACCAGAGTGTGGGAGAGCTGAGTGTCACTGCTGTGTCACTTCCTTTTCTAGGGAATTCCTGGGAAAATCTGAACAYGAGCATCATCACTGAAGAGCGGCTGCTTGTCAGCACAGAGATTTTCCTTTCCTTCCTCTCCTTTTCCTCCCCGCTCCCTGTGGGTCAGTCTGCCGTTCTTCCGTCCCTGGCACTAGAGGAGGTCAGGGATTCCCATTCCAGTCCTGATGTGTACCCTTGGCAACTCCAGCTTCTGGCATCAGCATCTGTGACGGCAGAAGGAAGAAGCTGTTGCTTCTTTTTGGACACGGATGGAGGGGTGGTAACAGCCCGGGAGCCAGTACCAAACCGGGAAAAACGTAAGCGCAGCAAAGCTTCACCAATCCATCGTGGTACTGCTGAGGACTGATGTTCCTAGGACACTGTGTCATGACCAAGGATGTTTCTTTCACTTTTAAACATTGCTGCTGGTTTTGGATCATGTAGAGATTCATTTGTAGGCAAATGGCTTTTGCCATGTCTCTTTACCACAGTTGTCTTGCTTGAGTTTGAGGTGTTCTCTTTCTAGAAAATACATGTTTTGCCTTTCCTTTTCGATCAGTGTCTGTAATTACAAATACGTGGAGGATCCAAGTAGTGAGAGGTATTTTTATTTAGCTCTTCAGTTACAATGTGCTGCAAGTGTTGGGGTAAYTGCACACATTTGGAAATAAAATGAAAGATTTTTTTTTGTTCTTCCTTTTGAAACATCTATTTAATGGGAAAGGCTAGTGCTCTTTTAACTTAGCTGTTCCCTTTTCTTTTCTAATATAATTTCTGCTCCCATCCCAGCTGTCTTCTGTTCCTTCCCTTCCATACAAATACTTCCTGTTAGGATTGGAATGACACATGTACATAAACTGCAGACTTGGGTGTTGAAGCCAGAGAGTGTGAAATGACTTTGCTTGATCTCCCCTTCCATGACCAGTGTTTACCCAGGCTCTCAGAAAGGATGTCTTCCATACCCCTGTACACACCCAGACAGCCAGGTGCTGCTTTTTGGTGAGAAGGGCAAGGGTTGGTTTTTTTTTTTTTTTTTTTTTTTTTTTTCTCATCTACTTTTTCACTCCTTTGGTCCGGTTTTCCTGTTCCTGGTGGCACTGCTATAGTTAAAAGCAGGCAGTGATAACAAAGTTTTTGATGCAAAAGTCAGTCCGGGGTGTCGCTCCCCATCTCTCCCTCTCCAGCCCTCTGTCTTAGCTCGTCTGACAGCCACTGTCCAGGAGGCAGAAATGGAAATGAGCCTTTCCCCCAGGGAGAGGTTCTGGGGATGCCCTTACCCTGCTTGGGGCTAGAAGAGGGGCTGGTTTATGCCACTGAAGAGCTCTGCACTGAGAYGGGAGTCAGTCCCACCCTGCCTCAGCAGGGCCTGCTCCTCTGTCAGTCCCTACAGACAGTACCAGGTGCTGTAGGTTTAGTCAGTAGTGCTCAAAAGGAATTGTGCTGCCCCAAAGGTCTGGTCAGGGGTGTACAGCATAGTATAAACTGCTCAGCATGCATCAGAGTTATAGCTGCAGGCTCATACTAGTTGCAAAAGAGACAGTAGCTTGTTCYTGTACCAAGATTCTTCTGCCATTAGCGTGGTTGTCCCTGAGGTTTCTGACCCCTGATACTCATAAAGTAGCTGTGCCACTTCAATACAAGTGCATCAACTGTAATTTATTGCACTGACAGATGAGAAATACTTACCTGGCKCTGGAGAGTAACACACACATTCCAGTGAATGCTGCTGCTGGCAGCTGGCTTGGGGCAAAGCACAGCCTGAGCTGGGGCCTGGCTGGCTGCCTTTCTCCTGGTGGGACAGAGCTGGGAATCCAGCACGAGAACTGCTGGTGTTGGTGATCCCAGCACYACTGTTCATGTTAGCAGGGCAGTAATATGCTTGGAAATTTAAACTGAAATGTTTATCTAAAAGTGGTGTAGTTTTAATAAAGGCATTGACTGCTGATCACTTTAGCTTTACCAGTTTTACCTGGCAGTTTTTGGGATGTTTTCCCCTAATGAGCAGGTCAGCTGGGAGTGGGGTAGAGCTGCAGGAGGGTTGTGTGTGGGAAGTGATCTTTGTGGCTGCTGCAGCTTGGGATGAGGCTCTGCTTCTCCCCTGGGAATGGGGGAGATGGGAGCCTGTGTGAGTGCTGTTGTCCATTTGTAGGGCAAACCCAACACAGTAACCTCCACCCCTGGGCATAAAATCAGCCTGACAGGGGCATGTGGTTCCTCCCAAGCTAGTGCCAGCACCCTGCCAGCTGCAGGGGACCACAACGCCACAGTTGGGAAGGACAGCAGTGATTCAGGTATTGTGGCCTGAACGTGTTGCCACCTGAACCCAGAGGCGTGGAGTAGTCATAAGTCAGTCCAAAGTCAAACCAGCAGGTGTTGGGGTTGTTTTAATGAGTTGGTGTCAAACAGGGCAGTACTGGTGCACTACACAGCACTACAGGTGTTAAAGAGTGACCCCAGCACTGGGAGGGACGGGTGGAGCAGCATGACCCTGCTACAGAGGATCCAGAGATGTGATCCGTGTTCATCCCCTGGGCAGCACCCAGCACACGGCTGTACCTGCTGAGCCAAGAGCCTGGCAGTGCCAGGTGCAGCCCTCCCTCTGCAGACACAGAGGCTAAAAATCCCTGGAGTGGCTTGGTTACTGGGCCTGGCGTTAGGCAAGAGGTGTGGCAGGAGGCTACAGTAAGCTCTGGGGCAAGGAAGTGGCCGATCCCAGGCTCTCCTTGTGGCACAGTGTTTGATGTGGGTGCCTGTCCCCCCTTCTTTAGGTGATGCTGGCTGAAGGGATGGGCAGGGAGTGGCCTCTGCCTCCCCAGCTTTGGGCCTGCCTCCTTCTCCCGAAGGAGAAAGACAGGCTCTGTGTTGGCTAATCCTATTTGTGGGGCAGGGTGAAGGAGGCCAGGCCCTCACATGCAGGGGGCAGGGGAGGGTTTCCTTGGAAAGCCCTTGTTAAGCACGGAGCACAGCCCTGGAAGGCTGATCCATGGTCATCTCACTAAAAGCACTATGCAGCACATGCAGGCGAGGTGGCTGCAAACACAAGGTCCTTTCTCCTGTCCCCCAGCTCCTGATCCTCAGTCAGGGCTCCTCCTCAGAGCATCCTTCTGCCCCTCTGAGGGAAAGGCCTTGGTTCTGCAGAGCTGAGCCCATCTGACTGATGGTGAAACACAGGTGAGGCCTCCTGGGCTGGGAGCGTATCCCTCCTTCCTTCCCTTGGTGCTTGCATCAATTCCGGGGCAGGTTGGGTGGGGGGATGGCTGTGGCAGAWGGCTCCACCCCCCAGATCTCCCGGGCGTACTCAGTGATGGTTCTGTCACTGGAGAACTTGCCCGAGCACGCGATGTTCCTGATGACTTTCCTCGTCCACTCRCGGGGATCCTGGCAAGAGGAGAGACAATGCCAGCCCTCAGTTGCTCACCCAGCTCTGTCCTGGCTCACAGCCTTGCTGTGCACTCCTGGCTGCTCTAAGCACTGGCGTGGGGCTGCTGGAGCAGCCAAACTGGCCTCACCTTCCAAGCTACAGTGTCCATAAGGAGGGCTCCACTGGAGCACACTCATCCCTGTTATTTCCTGTCTTCCCACTGCACTGCCATGGCCAAAGACCCCATCCTTCCCACTCAGTCATGGCCATCTCTTACCATGAACAGCTGGTCCACTTGGCCTTGGCACTTAATGTAGGCCTCGTAGTCTGCAAACACCTTAAACCTGAAACCCAAAGCAGAGTCCAGCTGGAGTTTGCCTTCTGGGCAGGACAGACATTTCTCACGAGTAGGCAGGGCTCCTCCCGGGCAGGGATGATTCCCAGGACTCACCTGTCGTGGTACATGAGCATGTTCACCACATCCTTGAAGCAGCCGGGGTCTCGAGGGGAGAAGAAGCCGCTGCTGATCTGGTCGATGGCCTGGCGCAGCTCGGGCAGGCTCTCGTAGAACTCGCGGGCATTGTACCTGTGCCCGGCACAGACAGGCTCCAGGCACTGCTGCCCTGCCTGGGGCCCTCGTGGGTGGGGCAGGGAGGGCAGCCAAGGGTGGGCACAGCTCCTGGGGCTGTGTCCATCAGAGCACCCTGCCCGTGGCTCAGACCTGCAGTGTTGTCTGATGGGGACTTTCAGCCATGTCCCTCTCACAGTCACTGCGCTCTGGGCAAGCTGCATCCTCACAGCCCAAGGCAAAGAGTGCCTCCAGAGCTGCCAGGGGGCAAGGTGTCYCTCCCAGAGAACATGGCTGTCCCTGCCCCAGCTGAGCCCTGCACCCCCATCTGATGAGCCCYGTTGTGCACCAACCCTTTCCGATCCATGGCCTCCACGTCCTCCACCCGCATGCCAAAGATGAAGAGGTTTTCTTCACCCGCCTCCTCAGCCATCTCCACGTTGGCCCCGTCCATGGTTCCAATGGTGAGGGCCCCATTCACCATGAACTTCATGTTGCCAGTACCTGAGGCCTCCGTGCCAGCTGTGGAGATCTGCTGGGAGAGATCCGCTGCTGGGATCACTGCCAGGTGCAAGAGAGGCAGGAGTTAATGCTTGGCACATTGGGGCTCCCCACAACCAGGACAGCAACACAATCCTGGGCATTTGCCAGCGGCCATTCTGACCCTGCCCTCAGCCCAAACAGCACAACTCTGGGGCCAGGCTCAACTTTGTTTCCTGCCCTGTGTGGAGCCCTCAGGCTCTTCCTAGGGCACAGCCAGGTGTCCTGCCACAAGTGCCTCTCAGGCCAGCCCGTTCCTGGGGCATGCCCAACTGCTGACACATGTTTATAGATCAGACATACCCTTCTCAGCCAAGGAYACCCGGTAGTTCTCCAGGAARATGACCTTGAGCTTGTCGCCCACATAGGGGTCGTTGTTGATGACCTCACCGATGGATGTGATGAGTTTGATGATCATCTTGGCCATGTGGTAGCCAGGGGCCGCCTGGAGGAGAGCAGCCCAGAAATGGAGAAGGCTTTAAAGGGAGAGCATGAGAAATGCCAGTGTTGGGTCCTCACTGTCACCTCTGCTGTTCACACACAACCACAGCAGGGTTGGAAGGGACCTTTAAGGGACATCTAGTCCAACCCCCTCCAAGGGACATCTTCAGCTAGCCCAGGTTGCTGAGAGCCCCATCCAGCCCATCTTGAATGTTTCCGTGGACGGAGCATCTTTCACCTCTGGGCAGCCTGTTCCAGTGGTTCAGCGCACTCACTGAAAAAATTTCCACCTTGTATCTCATTTAAATCAACCTTTCTTCAGTYCAAAACTGCTGTCCCTTGTCCTATCACAACAGGTCCTGCTAAAACATTTGTCCCCATCTTTSTTAAAAGGCMCACTTCAWGTAMTGAAAGAYTGCAGTAAAGTCTCCCCAAATGATCCTAATTCTCCCAGCTATGAATTAGGAAAAACATCCTATTGAGAGGAGAAGTCCTGAGCCATGGGGAATAGTGATGGAGCTCAGTCCTGTTAGTCCCTGGAGGTGTTTCCTGTTGCTGGCTAACCTACAGAGCCCCAGCAAAGCCACAGAAAGGGGACAAGACCTTCCCCATCCAACTTCCCCAAGCCAGGCATGCAGAGGGGCTGGAACGCAGGTTACCTTTCCTCCAATCATGATGGTCCTGGGCACAAAGGWTTTGGATGGATTACATCTGATGCCTGAAAGAGCAGGGATTTTTCTTCAAAATGTTTTCAAACTTCGAATTTGATCTTACAAAATAAATTAAAAAATCTTCACAACTCAAGATACACTGGGCAGTTTACTGTGTGCATCAGAGGTGGGCTGGGATCTCAGCCCATGTCACAAGGACCCATCAACCTTGCAGGACCCTGAAGCCCAACCAGAYATCTGCTGGAGCTGTGGTGGGTGAAAAATGGCCACAGAATCCTTGAGGATTCAGATCCTTGGAGAACTGCTGAAGCCAGAACAATGCAGAGCTCCAATRACTTGCTTCCCTTTGAGAGTGGGCAGGGGTTCTGAGCATACATTATGAAATGGGATTTTAAGTTGCACCTGCAGAACAGGTGTGAAGGTTACCTGGGCTGGACATGTGGGCTGTGAGCTTTTCCTCAGAGCTCTGTGTGACCCTTCAGACACTCTCCCTTTTCTCCTGGGGAGAAGCCCTGGCAGTGAGAGGCTGGGGGACTTACGGTTGTAGAGGGTGATGGCGTGCAGGCAGTTSAGCAGCTGTCGCTTGTACTCGTGGATTCGCTTCACCTGAACATCAAACATGGACTGGGGGTTGATCTTCACCTTGTACTGCTCCTCCAGGTAGGCTGCAAACTTCAGCTTGTTCTCCTGGCAGAAAAATGTGAGGAACAGGCGTGGGTTGCCAGGGCTGGCATCAGAAATGAGCATTTGCTGATGTTCCTGGAACTATGGGGCTTTTAGCCTTCTTCCCCCAGGCCACCTGCAATGCATATACCTGCTTGACTTTTGCCACATCCCTGATAAAAGTCTCATTATCGATGAAATCCAGCAGCTTCTTCAGCTGGCTCAGATCTGTGATAAAGCCTTCCCCGATTTTCTGAAAAAACAAACCAGGAGAGGAATGTCACGAGACACTTCACCCAGTCCACAGGTCCCCATCCCTAACAGAGGTGCCACAGTCCTGTGGGTACTGGAATAAGCAGTGTGACCAGGAAAAGGGGCACAGTTTCTTATAGTGAGGTTACTTCCCTGTGTCATAAAGAACCCAAATGAAAACAAGGCACTTGCAAAAATTCAGACAAGCCCCTCTCTTGTCTTTGAGGCAAAACTCTTGAGTTTTGGCAGGAAGAGGGAGGATGTGTGCACATGTGCCAAGGCCTCCTGGCAGCTGGGGAAACKGGTAGGTAGGACATAATGGTACATTTATTTGCAGGGTGATATTCAGCCATGGCGTGTCCCAGTRTGATGTGAAAACCTGTGCTAAAGGGCTTGGGAAACAGAAAGGACAGGGACTGGACTCGGGCTGAGCCTCCACGGGAGCTCCTTTGTGCCTGTGAAGCTGCACAGACACCTTGTGGCCGTGCCTGACTGTGGGCTGTCCCCAGACTCAGATTTCTGCAGCTTTTTTTGGCCACCACTTCATCATCAACTTTAAAATCCAGCTAACCTCACATGGCATCTCCTCCCACACACCGGCCAGGTGTCAGCCCTGGGGCTGACCAGACCACAAGAGGTGACCAAAGGGATCACWCTCAGCCCCTCACTTCACATGCTCCCCACTTACCTCAGCAATAATTTCAGCCAGTCCTGGGTTGCACAGCAGGAGCCAGCGCCTCGGTGTGATCCCATTGGTCTTGTTCTGAAACTTTTCTGGCTCCAGCTCATGGAAATCCTTGAACCTGGAACATSAGGGAGCTCTGAGCCACCAAACCACCAGGAGATTCAGCTGGGCTCCCCCAGTGTGTGCTCCTGACTCAGGGCAGGCTCTGTCCATCTCCCTGTAACAGCTGTGAGCGCTCTTTGCTGCCTCTCTCCTCTTTCCAGCTCCAAAGGGAGAGAGTCTCCCCAGCAAGGCAACCACAGCAGCCCTGGACACGCAAGTGGCCCAGCTAACCCCTCCTTGCTGGCAGGCAGAGCCCASTGAGCGGGGAAGGTGCCTGCCCTGGGTGTGCCCAACTCACACGGAGTTCTTGACGATGTCRGAGTGGATGCGGGCCACGCCGTTGACAGCGTGGGAGCCGATGACGCACAGATGAGCCATGTTRATGCGCTTGCAGTCCCCCTCCTCGATCACCGACATCCTCCGCAGGCGGTCAATGTCCCCCGGGTACAGAGCTGCCACGTGCTGCAGGCAGGGAGCGGGATGTGAGTGACACAGCCCATCCTAAAAGTGCTCACACCAAAACCCCTGGTCTTCCCCCGCTCCCTTACATCGAGGTGCATTTGGTTGAGGGCATAAATGATCTCCAGGTGCCGTGGGAGCAGCTTCTCAAACATGGAGACTGGCCAGCGCTCCAGGGCTTCGGGCAGCACSGTGTGGTTGGTGTAGGCACAGGTCTTTTTTGTGATCTCCCAGGCCTGCATCACAGACAGAGGATTAATGCACACGCAGGGAAAAGGAAATCCCACAGCTCCTTCCCCTGCGAGGGTCAGCACAGCCCTGCCAGCTCTGCTCACCTTGTCCCAATCCACTTTCTCCACGTCCACCAGGATCCGCATGAGCTCTGGGATGGACAGGGCAGGGTGGGTGTCATTGAGCTGAATAGCCACCTGCAACACAGACTTGCTGGYCTCACTTCTGGYRGTGACAGGACTGTGACAGTGTCCTGCACGCACAAGGCTGGGGTAAGGGGCAGCCCCARAKCTCTTCTCGCAACTCACACCCCAGRAACAGAGAGCTCTCAATAATGGAGCTATTCAGACTCTTCAAGTTTTACTCCAAATGACAAATTTTTCCCTGGGAAAATAGGCCTGGAGATCATCTGTTTGCAAGCCAAATTGCCAGGGTGTTTGTATGAACGGCCTCATTTAGTCCTGAGTGTCCTGCTCTCCCCCATGAGAGGCAGGTGTGGCTGATTTCCCCAGAGCTCACAGACTCACCTTGTCTGGGAAGGTTTCAAAGCACGTTCTCACAGGGTCTCGGCAGCCAAATTTGGAGGACTTGAAGCGGCGGATGATGTCCTGGAGGGTGGCAGCCACCACGAAGTATTCCTGCTTCAGCCGCAGCTCTTTGCCTTCGAAGAACTGCAAGCAGGGGCACCACATCCATCAGGGCTGCAGCTGCCATCCCCACCTGGCAGCCAAACCCCTGGAGATGCTGCTCTCCCAACAGGCCTCGAGGCCAGCACCTCACCAGGACAAATGTGGCTGTTTGTCACATGTCTCTGATGGGGACAGCAGCTGTAGGGACTGACAAGGGGCCTGGCATCCCGAACAGCTGCTTCCAGAGACAGCAACAGAGCCAGCACAGTTCCCTCCCCTGCTGCAGGATCCTTTGCAGGGTTTTTGGACAAAGGATTTGGGGCTTTCTGCAATAGCCAGGAGTGTCTTTAGACACTCACACACACCATGCCTCATGCTGGTCTATTTTTAAACACCAACAGGAATGATGGGGTGTGGGGTAAAGTGTAGGRATTAGCTTTTCCAGCACAGATGCTAATGCATAATGAGATATGAGGGGTCTTCCTTTTGGATCCAGGGAATGCTTGGCCTAGGACAGCCCCTGCAGTGAGAAATCCCTTGAATTTGGGATGGAAATGAGTCCCCACAGTGTAAACTGGCAACTGCCTTGAAGCTGAAGGAGCAATGTCTTCCTCTGCCTGCAGCAGAGAACACAGCAGATACACAATGTGAGCCAGACTCTCAGTCAGCAAAAACCCTCTAGGGCCAGCAGAGCCATACCTGTTCACTGGGAATTACAGGGACAATCCCATGTATTAAACAGAACAATAAACATCAGACAGCCATGACCTTCCAGTGCTTGCAAACAAGGAGATMCAGCTGCAGGAAGGATGATTCTGAGCAACAGGGGAGAGAGGYAGGAGAGTCACTCACGTTATCATTTGGGTACAGGACTCTGGATATGTTTTCTGCCAGGTTTCTGTCCAGCACTGCCTCGATGTAGTCACCCATATTGACTGCAGGGAGAGAAACACACACAGCACTGCAGCAGCTGCAGGGATTCAGGCAGGCCCCTGACACCACACTTGTCCTTCTCTGGCAGAGAGATTTTGTAACAGGAATATTCAGGCTGGCATTAATGGAATAAGATGGGAATGTACTGGTGTGAAAGGCACTAGAGTGACAGGARGAGATGGGATAAGAGAAAGGCACATCCCCATGTGGTTTTCAAGACACAAATATTGGGAAGGACAGGCAGAAACTGAAGACAGACAGCTGCCAAAACAAGGAAGTGAGTGAGCAGCCATCCTGCTTGAGAACTAAGGAGAAATGGCCTGGGCAAAGAAGCACAAACACCATAATCACACTGAACCCCTAAAGGGTATAAAAGCCTCATCAAAACCCAGCTCACAACAGCCAGTGAAGAACTGAGAAGACTCAAGAGCCATCACCTCATGTCCCGCATTCTCCTGGCAAGGCTGCTTGGACACACATCTCTCTTCAGTATGGAAGAATAAATCAAATCACTCTAATCTAAAACYTTGCACAAAGGGACAACTGTGACTCAGCCTGGCCAGAGGAGAGGCAGTGGAGGGACAGCACTTACACTCCTGGAGGTTGAAGTCATTGGGTGCTTTGGCAGACCAGAGTCTCATGGTGTTCACWGTGTTGTTCTTGTATCCAGGCACTGGGGTGTCGTAAGGCATGGCAAGGACAACCTGCAAAGGAACAGTGTTCCACCCTGGTTACAGCCCAGGGGATCAGAGCAGCTAGGAAAGCAGCTGAAACCTCTGCAGGAAAATCCAGAGAACACAGGACAGGTCCAATCCAATTTGGACACAAATCCAGAGGACAAGACACATTCCTTCTCCTGGCTGGAGAAGGAATTTCACTAAAACACACCTGCTGAGCTTCACAGACTTCCCTCCTGTCGTGGGCACTTCCACCACCTACTGGGAAAGCATTCTAGGGAAGCAAGAGCTGTCTGGAGCTTTTCTGGCCAACTGGAGTTACAACCCCATCACGAAATGCAACTGAGAGTTGCAAACAACCTGCTGACCTTCCTGACCAACTGGGCTACCTGTTAGTTATTGAGCAGAGCACTGAAAGCATCCTCAGCTGCTCTCTGTGATTCTGTCTATGCTGGGGTGGACCCAGGGCAGCTTGGGCCTTTGTGCTTCCATCTGGGATAACTCCACAGCCTGAATCCTGCCCATCAGCCTTCTGCAGCCTGCCAGGACTTTGCAAAACCCACCATTTCCAGAGCCATTCACCCAATATTCAGGGATTGTTGAACCTGTCTGGATAAATCCACTAAGATCTGCAGCAGCTGAACTGAATGTGAGTTCAAAACTCTTTGTGCAGATGATGCTTGAGGCTCAGGATGCTGCACACATGGCTACAGGGAGTAACCCTGGARCTCCCAGCTCACACAGCAGGGAAAACCTGGGCAAACCAGCACATTGGTTCTGAACAGCCTCTCGATGCTGGCATCAGCAACACCTCCCCTCTGGGGAGAATCAGCAAGAGCTCAGGCTCTCCAAGCTGCTGTTACCAGCTCCCAACATGGAAGCAGGCRGGGAGCCTGCCCAGGGACTGGGGCACACATCACATGAACTCAGCCATGCTATATTTGGAGACTGAGTCTTTGGCCTTTTTTTGAACCTTTCCAACTTGTTCCCTTAACAGCACTATCTGAAAACTCACCTCCTTGTAGGAAGCAGTGTTTGGGATCCCTGAAACCCCAGGCTAACAGCAGGATCAGAAGAAAGGTATGTTGAAATGCAATGGCATTTGGTCCCCAAGTGGATGCCTGCTGCACTTGGGGGACCAAAGAGCTCTGGCACAGCGCCTCCAAGACGTTCACTGTGCTGAGGCTGCTCACTGCCTAGCCACAAAAAATGGGTTATTTCTCCTGTGAGCAGGCCCAGGTGACTCTGTAACCAAGATTCAGCTGTTGGTGCTGAAGAGAATGGCTGGGCTCTGWGACTGTGAGCTCCTTGGATGAACTGAGCTAGTTCATCAGGCTGAGAGACCACTAGACATTATGGGAACAAGGCCAAGTCATCTCACTGAATCCCAGAGAAATTAATTTTCCTTCCTTCCTTACAAAGGAGAGGCCGAAGCTTCTTCAATCCTTTTAATAAACTTGTGCCTTCATTAGCAGCAAGAATGCACCTGTGATGCAGCAACCTGTGTCCTGAACAAGCTCCTGAGGTACAGCATTACCTCCTCAACTGTGGGAGAGGCTGAGGGAGTGTTTGTGCTCAAGGATGCCACTAAACAAGGCCTCCAGGCAGACTGGAGACTAGAAACCACACCTCCAACCTTCCCTGACAGCCCATTGGGCTGCTCTGGGAAAGAGCAACTTGCTCTTGTGACAAGATTTAAACACCCATGGGATTGCCACCATCTGAAAATCCACAGGGTGACAGTGAGCAGTGGTTAGGAGCAGTGTGGAAGGAACCTACACTTCTCCAACATAAAATCCATAAAAGATTTATGGGGCTTGGCCCTGGAGATCAACAGATCCCTCCTTTTTCTCAAACCCTGCTGCAACAAATCAACAAAAATCTTTATTTCTTCATATCCCATAGGCTACCAAGTCACCTTCACAAGTGCAAGATTAGCAGAGGGAGTCTGGCCAGTCGGAGAGAGAAGCAAATCCTAAAAAAAATCCCCAAAAAATCTTACATTTTTGGAGGAGCCCTCCCCAAGAAATACTCCCAAAACAAAATTTTAAAAATACCATAAAAATGCCCCAAAAAATAAAAAAAATACTCCCAAAAAAACCCCAAAATTACCAAAAAAACCAAAAAAAATCCAAAATACACCCCAAAAATCTCCAAAAATTCGCAAAAATATTTTTAAAAATTAAAAAAAATCTCAAAAATTTCCCAAAAAAATTTAAAAAAAATTTTTAAAAATCTCCAAAAATCATATATAAATAATAATGCAAAGCCTTCCCCAGCCCAGCAGGCAGACAGATGTTGGCAGTACCTGGGTGTCAATCCAYTTCACTCCATCAGGGGTGTGCTCCACACGGCCGTAGAAGTGCACTGGGATCATGTACTCGGGCCGGGCTTTCTCCCAGGGATTGCCGTAGCGGAGCCAATCGTCTGCCTCCTCCACCTGCAAGAGACACACGGGGCTCAAGGAATGGCTTGTGGCTCCAAGTGAGGGCTGAACAAAGCTTCAGTCAGCTGGCTTTACAAATGGATATGCAGAGGCCTCTAGAGGATAGCTGGATTTCCAAAACTTGGATGGCTTTATCCCAGTGGGTATAAATAAATCAGCCTCTACGGAGTCTGCAGCACTCTGAAGGTTTAAACCATCCAACTGCATAGACCTGCTCTCCACACCTTTACATCCAGTTTGACTGTGGATATTGTGGAATATGTGGGATGTGGCAGCCACTGGTGCTGTTTTCTGGCCACAAGCCACACCCTGTAAGCCTGGTCTTGTTAACCCTGTGCCAGAGAGGGTTTCTCYTCTCAGCTCACAACAGTGGAGGCTGGTGTTATCCAGAAATGCTTTGTGCCCCCAGGAATTTCTCTGCCATGGAAGAGGGACATAAAGGAAAGGGGAGACAGTGGGGTAAGGACAGGGCAAGGCAGAGGGAGGGCCCCAGCCCAGCAMGCCACCAACCCTGTTCTTTTTTAAGAAACATGAAGTCAAAGAGAGGGCAAGATTTCCCCTCCCTGTTTTCACCATTTATGGGGCTTAGCATTGCAGCTGCTTTGTGGAGAAGGAGGAAAAAAATAACCTTCATATCTCTCATCCTCCCTGAATTACAGACAGGTATTTTAAGGGGAAAAAGGTATTTTATGCTCCAAAGCAAGGTAAGTCTCCTGATGAAAACCATTTCCAGACACACACTAAGGAAAACTGCCAGCTGGGGCAGTTTTTTTAGCCTATTTTCACTTGAAAATAATATGATCACTAATGCAACAGGAAAATCCCTGTTTAAGCCCCATCTGCCAGTGACCCAGGGAACCCACAGGAGCAGCACCACCCCAGGCACTTGCCTTTCTTCCATCATGATCAAATCCATSCTTTGCCAGACACCTCCCTGAGGTATTTAGGCCCATCTCTATCCTTAGACTGCTTGCCCACTCATTGCCAAGYTGGATGGGACTCTGGGGCTGTTGCAGCTGCACTGTGGAGACCCAGGCAGGGAGATCTCTGGTCTCAGCCATGCCCTGTGGCTCAACTCCCACATCATCTTGCCCACTGATGGACTCAAATGACCATTTTAGGAACAGCTCAAGTGTATTTTATGTGGCCAGACCTCATCCTGCATGAAACAGAGGGACAAAGAGTGACCTGAGTTTGTCAAGTACCTGCCAGCCATCGACAATCTTCTGGTTGAAGATCCCAAACTCGTAGCGGATGCCGTAACCATACGCTGCCAGCCCCAGTGTGGCCATGGAGTCCAGGAAACAGGCTGTAAGGAAACAGATTGTAAGAGCTCAGCAAACAGGCTGTAAGGATCAAGGAAACAGATTGTAAGAGCCCAGGAAACAGGGAGCAGAAGCAGAGCATGGTCATGCTGCAAGGAACCTCACTCCTTGCTTGTTACAGTGTGCTGTGCATGGAGATGAGGAGCTGCCACAGCAGTGCTGCTGCAAAATATTTATTATTTAGAGAAAACCCATGTTCAGAAGGGACATAAGGAGATAAGTCTGCAGCAGGACTCTATGAATGTTCACATGAGCCACCACAAACCCCCTGAATTGTGGGTGACAAGGACAGGTCACCAAAACCCTAAATTCAGCCTTGGGATGGAGAGWGATGAATGATGCCTTAGGATTTTTGCCTTTYATTTTTAYAYACCCTTTYATATATCCTCCARARAGCTCTTCTAAACTTTCCTTGTTCTAAGCCTGTCTGCCCAGTAAAGCAGAACTGCTGCACCACCAGCTACTTAACCATTATTGCTTCCAAAGGAAACCCTTCCAGCCCTCAATCCAGGCAGTTCTGTTAAGATCAGCCCCAGCATTTACTCCACGCCGGGGAGCTCTCATCTCCAGCTGTCCCACGGGACAGGCAGACTAAAATAGCAGCCAACAATCTGCCTGTGTGAGAGCTGCTGAGTGCCTTTGAGAAGTGAGAGATTTCACAGGGAGGTGAGGAGGAAGGCTCCAGACAGCCTCTTCCAGCCCTGCCTGCTGCACTGCGGAACGCACACCTACAGCTCTGGGGTGCTGTCATGGGGGAGGGGATGTTTCTGGCCAGTAAGGGATGTTTCTGGCCAGTAGGGGATGTTTCTGGCTGGTCAGGAGCAGGCAGGAAGGCACCACACTGCTGATGCCAGTGGTGAGGGTGTGACAGCCATGCCATCTCGGTCCCCACACACCCTGCATTACCTGCCAGCCGGCCCAGGCCTCCATTTCCCAGCCCAGCATCTTCTTCAATTTCTTCCAGCTCCTCCAAGTCYAAACCCAGCTGTTGGGGAAGAAGCACAATGGAACATGTCACCAAACCAACCCCATGTCTTGAGCTGCTCTCCAAAGACGTCAAACACATCCCAAACCCACATTGCTGGAAATCAAACCCACAAGGTCTCTGCATCCCTCCCCACAACTTCCCATGAAGAATCTCATCAGGACCTAGACCTTGGGCAGCCCAATTAATTGGAAAACAATTTAGCCCATCACTAAACATTGCTTTACCAAGAGCTACATTTTCTTAGAGATCTCAGACAAAACACCCATCCCCTGACAGCCCCACAGGTCAGGATGCTCTATGACCAAACTCGACATTGGAGACAATGTGGGGAATGGTCAGTGGGCAAGGGACCCCCAAGGCCAGCCTGGCCAGGGGAGGTGACCCCTCTGCTCATGTCCATCGAGTCCTTGAGGAAGGGCACAGCCAGGCTGGCAGCAGTGACTGCAGCATTCACCATCMCTCTCTGTGCTTCCCACAKCCTGCCCAGCCTGCCACTGAGCTCCCTGGCTGCAATCCATGGCTGGAAGTGGTTGCCTGCATCTCTTGAGCCTTTTGTTCTATGGGCCTGGGGGTTGCTGCCAGATGAAGGCTAAGCTTGCCAGCAGCAAAGACTCTCTGGGAGCCCAGAGCTGCAGACTCTTGGGGGGGCAGCAGTAGCTCACCCTGGTGCCCCGGGGGGACAGCAGGGTGTCAAGCCAACACCACAGCTGCTCCCCAAGCTCTTTTCCCAGCACTTTAATGGTCTGCAACCACAAGATCAGAAAACATGATGCACAGGGTGATGGGCACACAAAAACTGAGATGAATTCTCTCAGTGACAGAGCAATGCTGGATATGAGACCTCCGAACCAATCTGGCCACTGGCCATGAGCTCCATGTGCTGGAGGCTACAGCAAGGGAAGCCTCCACYAGCACATCGGGCCAAATCCACACTKGGAAAGTGTCTTGCAAAGGAACCTAGAGGATGCTCCCTGAGAAAAACCAGCCTGCTCTCTGAGGCATGATACCTCACAGAGGAAACAGGTGCCTCCCTGGAAATCCCTGCCCACCTGTTGGCAGGGAAAATGCTCGCCAGGATGTTTCAGCAGCAACTGTAGCACCTCATTTTGAGAGACAGTGAAGCACCCAACTTCTGCTAGAAAGTGTAACACGAATCAATCTAGTGGGGCAGAGGGAGGGGAGAGGGGAAGCTGGGAGAAATAAAACCTTTGGTTAGAAAGCTAAAAACCTCACATTCTGTCAAAAAAGGTCACTGTGCTGTTGCAGAGGTATCTGCAAATAACCATGTAAGTAACCACAGTATCATATTTCTGGCTTCCTTGGTGACACCCAGCCGTGGTTTTATCCAGCTGGAAACCATCTGATGACACTTTACTTCAAGCAAATGATTTCCCTTCTTTCTCCCTTCCCACCAATTGACTTGTACCTGGCAGTGCTGCTGCTGTGCCTTATGTATCTCCATGTTTGAACTGTAATTTGGTGTTTTGCTGCTCCATTCTCCTCTTCTGGACCAGTCTCTACTATTAGACTACATCTCCTGTGATAAACTATCATCTCTCCTACTAATGGAAAGCTCTTTGCAGCCTATGACTTCCTTGCCATTTGGGTTACTGAGTGTTGTTTACAGTACAYGCTTTTGGGTTCTCCCATTCACTCCAGGGTGGTTTGAAAAACCATACTCCAAGGCTCCCCAAGAACCCGCCATTGTCTTCTCCAGGGAATGAAAAATGCTGCCACTAGAAAAGTTCTCATGGGAATGAAAAATGCTAACAGAGAGCCAAGTTTCACTTTGTRCAGTCCAAATAACACAGCCTTCTCAGATGAAGCCCTGAGAAATAAAGATACCCAGCCCTCTGTGKGGAAAAGTTTAGCCTCAGGGGGACCCTGGTACTGCCAAGACTTTACCTGGTAAATGGCTTCATCACAAGCATTCTGCAGGCCCAGGTTCACCATGGTGTTCTGCAGAGTGCGACCCATGTAGAACTCCAGGGACAGGTAATAAATGCGCTGGGGAGGCAAAGCAAGATGCTTACACGCAGCACGGCACTTTGCTTTCACCAAAGCTGCTTAAAATCAAGAGCAGACTCAAAATCAAGAGCAGACTCAAGCGTTTTCCAGAGGAGGGATGTCTTCCCAGACTGGCTTTTGGCGCCTGCTCCCGAACACCACGCACCAGAGTTGTTTGTCAGAAGAATTTCATGCGGGACGCCGGCCAAGCCTCCACCACGCATCTCCCTGCCAACAGCCTTCTATAGAAAAATCTCGCTGCCTGTTAAGTGTTTCCCTAATTAACTCAGGACAAGTATTATCTAGGATGCTGAATGATATATTTATACACTGTCAGGCTCAGCTGAGGTGATGTTTACGCTGGGCTTTTAAAAAGTCTTCCCATGCTAGGCTGAGGCTGATCTTGTCTCCCAAAAGCCAGAGCAAGCCCCCTGCCCCATGCAGGCCGGCTGGGCCGAGGGCCAGCACCTTCCTGTGAGCAATTTTCCAGCACTCCCATCTCATGGGTCCTGCTGCTCTCTCCACACTGATTTTCACACCCGTTTCACCCTGCTGAACAAGTAAATTGTCCCATAGGTGGCAGGGTTCCTGGCACAACCGTGCAGTGACCTCCCAAGTTTGYGAGGAGCCGTGTCTGTGCCGCAAATGCTAACGAAAGGCTGTTTGTGGGATGAGAAGCAGGCTGTRCAGACTTTTGACCTCGCTCAGATTTATCACTGTGGATATTTTTATAAATAAACTGGAATTTTTAGCAGAGCAATAACCTGACTTCAAACTGTGCTTTCCCCAGAATGTTTTTCCACTGTAGCATGTGGATCCTTCCCTGCCAAGCAGCAGGATTACCCACTCTGCCACCTCTGCTGGAAGTTTGAAAGGGTCCCTCAGTTCCCTGGGGCTCATGAGAAAGACCAAAATCATCCCACAATTCCATAAATGCTCTGCTCCTTTCAGTCTCTTGCAGGGGCACATTTCTAGTGAAAATCTAAATGCAGAGGACAGTAAACAAACTCACTCCAAGCTCCTCTGAGCCTTTATGGGATCTGTTCAATCCCTTCTGTTGGTGCTGCAATACAGATCAGGGTGCATTTGTGTGAGTTAGGATCAAAGGGAAAGCCACATGCACCTGTGTAACCCCTGGTGCACGTGGAGCCATTCTGTGGTGAAAGTGMACTTTGTTTCTCATGTCAAGGCAATATTCATAATCTTGGGAAAAGAGCTGACTCAGGGAGGTGGCTRCCTGCACCCTGGAAAGGTATGTGCCTTTCTCAGTACACACCTGCTCTCTGTGGCTCTCCATTCAAATGCTTGATTGGATCTTAATTCAAAAGGATTAAGGCTGAATTATGTCGTGCAGCCCCAAAACCTCCAGCATTGCTGTCCTGACTCAGCAAGCAGGGAGGAACCCTGGATTTGGTGAGCTGGGAGAGCTTGTCTGGTTTTCACAAGGCAAGAAACGCTTCTGAAGCCTCACAGCTGAGCTGCCTGCATGTTCTGCAGGAGCGAGGTGAGGACACAGCTGTGCTGAGCCACAGAGGTGATCATGCCCACAGGGGACACMAACATGGCACTGTGAGTGCAGGACGTGACCACGGTGAAGGTGCAGAGGAGCTGGCAGCAGCAAGGACACGCTCAGAGTGACCCACATGGGACACAGCTGTGACAAGGTGCAGGGGGTCGCAGTCATGAGGGTGTGTGAGCAGGGACAATGCTGCTCACACACAGGACTGCAAGAGTTATGGGGACACAGCCATGGTGAACTGCACAAGGGACACAGCTGTGGTGATGTCTATGGGGCAGATGTGTGTGAGGGACGTAGCTGAGGCAAGGATCAGGGGGACACAGACACACTGAGATGCGTGCAAGGGACATGGCCGTGAAGATACCAGGTGACACAASCATAATGAGGTGCACACAAGGGACACAGCCACGGCAGTGCCCATGGGCACACAGCCACGGGAAGGTGCACGCAAGGGACACAGGTGTGACGATGCCCACAGGGAAGAAATCACGGTGAAGTGCGTGAGGGCTACGGTACGGTCACGGCAAGGGGCCCCACAGCCAGGTGCACGCAAGGGACAGGCTCACGAGTCACGCCCACAGTGACACTGCCAGGTAGGCAGGRAGACACCCTCAGGGAAGGCGCAGCCGCCCAGCCCCGGTCCCTCGGCCCGCCGGGGCTCACCTTAGGGTCCCGCTCGTAGTAGTGCTGCTGCGTGCGGATCCAGCGGCCCACCAGGTGGTCGCGCACCGTGTGGGCCAGCGCGAAGTAATAATCGCGGGGGGTGGCGACGTTGCGGTCCTTGACGAGGGTGAAGTGGAGGTGGCGATTGAAACTCTTGCGCACCTCKGCCACGTCGCCCAGCCCCGCGATGCCCCGCACGCTGATCTGTTTCCGACGCTCCCCGTCGCTCAGCGGCGCCGCCATCCCGCTGCCGCTGCTGCTCCTCCGCTGGCGATGCCTCCGCCGCAGCCGGGACCGGGACCGGGGCCGGGGCAGGGCCGGGGCCGCCGCGCCTGCGCCTCCCCCGCCCGCCCGCGACGAGGCGGAGCCGCCAAGGCTGCCGGGGCGGGACGAGGGGGAGCGGGACGGCGGAGCGACTGATGGTCGAGGGGTCAGGGATGGCGACAGGGCAGGGATTTCTCATCACACCCGCTGTGCGCTAAAAGCCACCCCACCACCACGTTCCGATTTTAAATTGGGGGTTTATTGTCGGCACAGCGCGGTTCACGTGTCGCCGGTACACAGAGCCAGCAGCCATGCACACAGCACACCGCCAAGTCATGTAGTGCTGCCCCGAGCCCACGAGTCAGGGCAGGCACTGCTGGCTCTTGGAGAACCTGCGCTCTTTGCACCCCGAAAAGACCACTCGGGTCTTCTCTATACATTCATCAAATACATCACAATTCCACAGTTAGATTACAAATAGCACAGCATATTGCCTCCAGCCCCTGTGATAGCTCCGTGCCTGCGWACCAGGCACTGTTGGAGCAGAGCACCTCAGCTACCCCGCCCTGGCTCACTGCAACCACGATACATTCATTTAGCAGGAACAGATGCCCAAAATACCATGCAGAGACATTTATCCCCAGCCCTGCATCAACCTTGCCAAGGCACAAAAGTCTGCAATGTCCAACGAGCCATGYTCAGGGTTTATTTTTGTGGCTGCATCTTGTTCATCCATCTTCCTCTGACCAGCTCTAGAACTGTCAAATCTATCATGATCCTTGTACCAGCTCCTGRGCCTTGCTCATCTAGCAAATCTGATGGTGTCTTCCACCATTCACCTCCCAACRGCCAGGGAATCAACATTAGGCTTTAACCCTACAGGGCACACAGGCTCCAACTCATGCCTCCAAATCTGTATCCAGTTTCTAGAGTCCTACTGAGCTCTTCTCCTTCAGCAAGTGGAAAACAGAGCTGTGACTTCCATACTGYATTTCAAATCTGCAGCCTGTCAGCAGCTGAATCAGTGTAAATGCACCATTTTTGCACACACACAAGTTCACCTTCGAACACAGAAGCAGTAAAATAAAAATCATCACTGAAAACTGCTGACAAACAGGAAAAAAAAACACCCTGAAATCAGGACAGTAAAGAGTTCCTTCTGGAGTGACCGTTCAGCRRCTTCAGCACAYTGCAAGCACATAGTTCAGGYATAWTCCAAAAAAAGGTGTTTTTCTCATAGAGATCATAGATGTCCTGCAGAGTCCTGGTTTTCCTTCCAAAATGATMAAGTTTTATGTTAAGCTGACTGCACAAACTGTCAAATCAAAGCTTTTTCTTTACACTCTGCACAGTAAAAAAGAGCTAACGATGGAGGRGACTTGGCAGGGGTGGGAGGAAAAGGAGTGTAGTTCATGATGACCTTCCAAAAACTCTGGAAGCCAAAAGCACACCCTTCAACAGGGTCTCCCATGCTGGGCTTCCAAAAAAATGGAAATTCCCAAAAGTCACCTTCTAGGAGCTTTAGAASTGCAGTCTGTTGAGTGAGTCGATGTAATGGAAAGTGGCTCCCAACGCCCAGCTCGTTTCAACATTGTCAATTTTACGGGCAAGCTGGAAAAAAAAAAAAAAAAAGCCAGGAAAGTAAAAACACAATTCTCTGGGAGAATCTGAAGCATGCAAGGTGGATATAGTGCTAAAGGTCATGACAAATAGTTACCAGCAACGTGGGGAGAGCATTGCTGCACCACAATTGTAGACCCTGTGTTATARCAACAAGGTAACTCAAGAACCAAGCTCYCTGCCTCAGCACCCTCCTGCCCACYCTCCCCAGAAACCCACTTGGAGCTTCACCTTAAAGCCTTGGCTCTTYGGGAAGCCCAGTTCCTGCAGTAGGAAGGTGATGTAAGTGAGGTCCATGCAGAGRAAAGGGCTGTTTCCAGGGCTGATTTCCATGGTCTTACAAACTAAGAAGAAAGAAAACAGYGTCTGAGTGCACACTGTGGGCTCAGGCCTAACAACAGTCCAGCTGTGAAAAATATCAAATGAATCCATAAAACACCTCTGGTCAGTTGAGCTGTGCAATGATGGAACTTCTTACAATGAGGCTGAAATGACATACACACRTTAGGATAAGAACATTAGCTTTTTAAGGAAGATTAAGACAATCTCTCTCTCCCCTAAGACAGTATTTTTTTGTATCTCTCTGAGAAAGAGCCTCCAACTTTTCTTCTATCTACTTCAAATATTCAAATATATAAGCAACCTCTGGTGTGTTATCTTTCTTGAGCACCAGCACTCAACAAATGTTAAGAAAACCAAATTAAAAAAAAAAAAAAATGAGACAAACTCAAAACCCGCTTTCTTTCTCAGGATGAGTTACATACACAGTAGTCCAAAAATCAGAACTGCAATTGTTCTGTCATACATAAAGTTTACCAAAAAGCCATGACAGTTTGATCAAAGCCTTTTTTTTGTGGCCTTAAGAAAATTATGTTTACATCAGTAAATCTGCATAGGCAGCTCTCTCTCCAGCTGATGAAGGAAAAGCTATGAGCTAATTTCCCCCCCTTTTCTGACTAACAGTCAAGCAAATGAACAAATCTTGAGACAGAAAAAACAACTGAACCAGGTTAGACCAGATTATGCTAACAGGATGATAAAGCCACAATTATTTTGAAAGCATGATTTCAGAACAATTGTCAAGTTTATCAGTAATTCTTGAGAGAGTTTTGAAATATGTTTATTATACAGAATGTCTTATGTGGGCTGCAAATGCAAAAGTTAATATAAAAATAGTTGAAATTTTCAGAAATAAGCAGAAATGTTGGTTAGATGCTATATACAGGTACTCAGTATTTACTTAAAAGCATCAGGCTTCTTAATGTGTAACACATTTCCTATCTGGGAATGAATTTACACCCAATTATTAGTGTRTGTTTGATTGTATTTTACTCACCATATTTAGCTGCAATTTCAAAGTCACTGACAGTTAAGCTTCCTCCTTTTTCTTTATCTAAAAGAAAACAAAAACCATGGTCTTTTATGGTCTTTGTATAAAGGCAATTGTAGAAATCTGAAATTACTTGTAAAAATAAAGTGGCTGAGGAGGGAGGTATGTCTGTTCAAACTAATGTGAAATCTCATTATCTGCTTTCTACCACTGAATATGACAACCTTTTGTACACCACTGCTAAAGAGATGTGATGCATTCTGAATGCATATGGAAATACCTGAAAATCTTCATTCCATCTAAAAAGCCCAGTGAAGCAAACTCACAACCCAAATAATTTACTGCTTTACTGCCCAAGAAATTTGTTTATCGTTATGAAATGTTTTCTATTTCGGATTGTAGAGTTAATTAGGCAACAACCATTTCTGAAATGCAAACAGTTTGTTTAAAAACTATTACCAAAGGCTGTAAGTCCTATTTCACAGCCCCAGTATCTTCTCTATAGAAATAATTATCAAGTCAAGATCAATGCTGCACAGCAGTGTAAAAACAGATTAAATTCAATCAYAGCTTAGCAAAGCATCATGAGGTGTGCAAGTGTTACCACTGCTTCCAGAACTTGCCATTTAAAATGAAACCAACCCAGAAGCAGACATACCTATGAGACCAGCTTCTGCTGCACAGTCATAGTAGTAGGAGAAAATGTAGAAGTCCAAGTCCTTCACTTCCTCAGCTCTGTGCACTTTTTTGTAGAGCATCTTTGCCACTTTGTTAGAACAAGACTCATACAGAGGCTCACCTAAAAGAAGACAAAAAAAACCCCAACACACCATATTACAGGCAGAGTTAAATATACATAGAATCTATTTAGGATCTGCCAGGAAACAGGCTCCTTTCTGCAAAATAGCACTCCATAAGCTCTTCACAGAGAATTGAAATCTGCAYCTCCTTCCAGAGGCAGACACCTACCATCCTCAGGCTGAGACTAAGTATGTGATAAATCAGAGATAGACAACATCATCTGAGGCAGAAGAATTCTGAAAGACCTGTTCAAGGATTGCTCAATTGATGCTCAATCTGCATCACTTCTAGCAGCTTTACTGACTGGACAGACACATCATGGCACAAGAGGAAAGAGCTGCAGGATCTCTCTAACAGCACATCAAAAGGARCCAGACAGAACAGTAAACAGAGCCTGGTGGCTTTGAAAGAGAATGAGAGTGTATCATTTACTCTGYTAAGAGCAGCTGACCTAGATAGGAAGAGTGATAAATCACTATACCTGCCTTCTGTCCTTTAATTTTGTACACTATCTCGGCATGCTGCCAATCGGATTTGAAGCCAGGTGGTAAACAAGGGCTGATCAATTCCTCCCCTTCTCCTACTGCAGAAGTAAAACAAAGTCACATCAGGAAAAAACAGAAGGAGTTAAATTCAGATCCCCCATTCCCAGCTCTGCCCCATTCTGTCCCACAGCCCCTCCACAGCCCCGTCATGGCTTGTGCCATGCTCACCCCCAAACTGAGGCTGGCAAGAATCCAGGTCTCCTGGGATCTGTCAGTGTCACCTCCTGCAGGTGTCTCAAATGCACCCAGCCATGGTGACAGGAGCCCACATTCCACTCAGGAACCTTGAGCCCAGTGGGGACACACAGCTCCTCCCCCACCACAGGACTACACACCCTGAGCTCAGAGCCAAGGCCTGAGGACTGCCCAAAACTTACAGGGTTTTCCCTCAACTCCTCCCAAAATGGCGAGCCTTGCTGACATCAGCCCAAGTCCCAGGTAACTGCAAAGGGATAAAAACCTCTGTGAGCAACACACATCCTTCCTCTGATACTCTACTGACAACCTACATGGGATATGMCAGTCTSCTCTACACAGCCATGGCAAAATGGYTCCAGTCACAGCTCATGCACATGAGGGGAACAGTGTGACAACCTGACATTACCTTACCCAGGATAAGCTCTCTTTGGAAAAGCTCAGGCAATAGGTGCCAGCTGTAATCTGGCTCTTGGAGAACTGGCAATGGCATTTCCCTAACACTACTCCTCGTACACACTGGGTACTCCTACCCTCCTCAAAGGCAGCCCAGCCACTGGCATACAGAATTGACTTTCTGAGCCCAAACACAGCAAATACAGGAGGGAAGAAGCTGCTGGCCTCTGCCCAAAACACTGGGAGCAGGGAAGACAGTGAGCAAGAAAGAATGACAGAGACAAAACATTATGAACTGACTGCAATCCCTGTTCTCCGTCTTCCTGTGCTGCTCAGTGGTGAGGAGGTGTAAGAATTGAGAGTGAAGCTGAGCCTGGGAAGGAGGGAGAGGTGGCTGGAAGGCATTTTTTATTTTGTTCTTATTTCCCACTATCCTACTCTTTAATTGTCAATAAATTCAATTAAATACTAAATAAATTAGAGTCAAGTCTGTTTTGCCCCTGACAGTAACTGGTAAGTGACCTCCCTGTTCTTATCCTGACCCATGAGCTTTTTGTCATATTTCCTTCCCCCTGTCCTGTTAATGGAATGGGAGTGATAGGGGGGCTTGGTGGGCAGCCAGTGTTGATCCACCAAAATCACGTGGCTCAAATTTCTCTGCTTCTTCATGGTATTCATTTGCAAGGACCCCACTCCAGAAAAACACCTAGGTCTCCCCGGCTTCACAGAATGTGCTCTCCTTCCCACAACTAACCTGTAGGAATATAGCTTGTAGGTGTGGTTAAACATCTGAAATGAAGTTGTGTGGCCAGATGGCGATGTCTGCAGAGTTGCCTGGAGGGAGAAAAAGATGTCACTGAGAGGTTTCTGCCAGCCAGCAGCAAACATCAACAAGGTCAACTTCCAAAACRTTAGGAAAAAACGTGAAACAATTCTAGCACAATTCAGAGAGAAATTATGAATTTGCAAGGATTTCAATTAGACTGCTGCTACACACGACAACCACGAAACCTGGAGTTAACAGTGTTCACATTTCTATTTGTATCCACACCAATATGCTGCATAAAAGAATTACTTTCATTAAAAGGGGATCCTTATTCCAGCTCTTAACTGCTTTTGTCGAAAGCTACAGCAACTGCCTCTTCACATGATCCCTACTACAGGAGCTGTGTGCAAACTAATAGGAAAGCCAAGCACGCATTAACTTCCTACTGGAGTGAATTCATCTGTGAACTTGCACAGAGGAAAAGCACATCCCTGTGCTTGCCAAGGAACAGAGCGAGGAGCAGCCTGTGGTCTGAAGGAATGAAAGGGTAGCCTGTTCCCCAAGTACACCAGCACAGTTAGTGTTTGTGGGGAGCAAAGCTCAGGCCACAATGCTGTTCATGCTGCTTATATCGTAACTCTTTCTCCATGTCCAGAATTTCCACATCCTGGACCCTTTCAATCCCTCATCATTCTGCTGAAACAGTGCAAAGTCTTGATTATCCCAGGCYGGAACACTGGATGCAGCATCCCATCCCTCTGCTTTTGTGCAGCTTTGCTATGAGCACTATCTCTGCTCAGGCCAGAGCYTTACAACACCACAGCCAGAGGGCTTCAGAGAACACCTATAAAAATGCCATATCAGGAAGCTAAAATGGCATTAATTTTCAACTTAGTGAACTAAGGAAAATCAGAAACAAGGATTGAGAAGGCATGTTACTGTGTTATTAAACCCCAGTTTGGGCCAAAAGCTGGACTTGAATTCATTAACAGCATTGCTTTCTGAGCCACAACCACCAGTGACCCACAGAGATGGATGAAGAGAATGGACAAAGAATTGTGAATGACTCTGTGACCGACTATAAAGAGGCAGACATGACCAAGTCACAAGTGTGGCTTCACACTGACAAACTCTTCCTCTGTTTCCATGGGAAAGAAATCTGAGCAGTCACAGATTCCTGCAGCAGCATTTCCCAACAGTGTGCGTGCTCACATTACCTCGGTGCGCGGAAGGAAGGTGATCTGTGTTGATCCACCACCCAAATCCAGCATCCCTACACTTCTCTTCTGTGGATCATTTAGCCTGCCTGAAATGTGCAACAGAACATGGTGGGCATTGTGAAAAACTGGCTAGGAACAAAACCAAAAGTACATTGGTAAAGAAAGAGAACAATCTAATTCCACCTCTCAGCTTCCACACAGCACCAAATTATATCATTATCTACTGGGCACTGATTCTGGCTTTATCAGACCTGAAAATCTTAAAATGACAAAAGTCTCTTATTTCTCCGGTGGCTGTTCCTGTCCTAGTCACAGCAGCTTTGGTTATTGCGTTCCTAAACATTTTGGATGCAAAGACCTTTTGCAAACTCTGCTCTGGTAACCACTTTGTAACACAGAAGAATGTGCTTTTCTTGGCCACCTCTCCCTGATCCCTYAGCAATATTTTGCAGATTCCTATGGCCAAAGGGATGACAGACTGAAAAGAGCTGGCCTAAGAGACTCAGCTCTCTTGGAATTCTTCCTGCTGCCAGCCAAGAYCTCGTCTCTCTTTTAAATCTAGTTCTTCTCAGTTAGATCCTTCAAATGCACCTTTCTGGCAAGGACAGTTTGTGCCAAGTACCTCAGTATACCTTTTGACAGCTGATGTTTGAAGATCACTGACCCTTCTGATATTTCCTGGGAGCATAAAAAGCTCCAGAGCACATTGCTCCCCACACACTGTGAGCTGAACAGAGCACTTGGATGGCAGAGTGCTTTATGTATTGTCACAGAGGCCTTCAGCTTGGTTTTCTCTTTACTCTTCAGCTACTCTTTCCTCACTCAGCAGTGTAAACACCCGTGGCATTTCTGTGTTATAAATCTGTAAGGAAGTAGCATAGCACTTTCTTTGACTCCCTGCAGCTGCCAGGCACATCTAGAATACTCACACAAAAAATTTAGCCAKAGTCACAGCAGGCTCTAAAAAGGAATAAAATGCTCTGGTACCCTACAGGGAACTGAAAKAAAAGCTATATTAAACATCTAGGAAAAAGGATTAAACTCCTTACTCCATCAATTAAATGGACAAAATCCTAATGACTTAAATAGGCCAGGCCAAAAACAACTGCTGCCTTATTCTCAGTCTTCTTCCTTCCATTCCACCCCAATGAATGGGCAAATCCCTCACAGGGGCAGAAAACAGCATGAATTTCACAGCATTGGTCATGCCTTTATACACATGCTCATGTACACATACCTGTTAAAAAATTTATTGTGATCCAGGCAGAAATACCTAATAAGGGAAAGATTCAGAAGATACATGATTAGATCACACCATTTCATTGTATCTAACAGAAGTAACAAATAAATCAAGCCAAATTACAAGGTTTCCAGAACTGCCAATGGCTGACAAAACCAAGATTAGACTATYTGAACAAAGAAAATTACATTCTCGMTCAGAGCTTATGTGATATTTGGGAGAGAAGCCCCATGTATGATATGCCTGAAGAACTCTCTATTATTTCACAGGTCACAAGCTTAGGCAGGAAATCACAAAGGCTTCAGTCCTTAGCCAAAAGACAAAAAGATTACTGAAACTCACATTGTTCATTTTCTAGGAAACCATCTACTGTTAGGCTTATATTTGCTGCCAGGCACTCAGCTTTTCTTTATGAATACTAAGAATTTTCATCTTTCAGTGTTCTAAYTTTTGCTCTAAGCAATTTTGTGAGYKATGYTGTTTCTGCYTTCTTCTTGTTTTATAAACTGTTTCCCCATAAATTAGGTCAATCAGTGGCCTTATGTTAACAAATTCAAGTATTTATTCATGTGGTTAAAACTCAAGGCATGCTAAAGAGCAGGGCCCACTTCAGTCCTTGGCTAAAGCAAGGCTATCACTGCCATTATTGATTTTAAAACAAAATAATTTCTTTTTTCCATTAAGTAGCAAGAAGAGAAACTCATAAACAGCTTCAGCTATTTTAAAGCTTCGTTTCTGAGCAGATTTAAAACACATTTCAACACTCACTTATTCAGAATTTAGACATTCTGTCCTCAACATTTTTGGATGAATATCAGCTTACTTCAGCATGTATTTTCTTCTCTATAAACCTTTTTTTCAGATTGACCTTACAATTCCACTCATTAGATCAGTTATAATTAACATTATGATCAAATACTTCCAGAAAGCTCTGATAAGCATTATCAACAGCAGAGCACACAAACCAAATTGCTGAAGACCATCTTAACAAGCAGATATTCAGAAAATTTTCCAAAATGCTGACTGCACAGTGATCCTACAGGAACTGCTCAACACTCAGAACTTGCAGGATCAGGACAGAGCTCAGGACTTCAAATTGGAAAACACAGCAGAAGATTTCTTTGGCAGGCACTGTGCCTGRGGCCACATAAAAACTCTGCTTCTGTCAAACCTGCTGCTTATGGGCTACCACTAGAGCAATCAAGGACTTGTCACAGGGCAGCAGAGATCTCCAGGACTGCAGGAAGAGCCCCCACAAGGCAGCCTTACCTTCATCAGTTCCATTCATTATGGACACACAGTTCTCCCTCACAAAGAAGGGGGACGCCTGAAAAATCTCCTTCACCTGTAGTTCAAATAAAAGCCACATTCAGAGAAATACTTTTTCAGCTGTAAAAAAGTTTTCTAAAACCCCAGTTTTACACTACTACTGCTCACCACTTTGTCTGAAGCCCAAGAGTCCAACAAGCAGCAGCCTTTATGGCCCTGCAGTTTGGTGCAGAAACAGGGATGGATGTGTGGGTTTTCAAGCATGAGGACTGCTCASAAATGCCATTAACAAGGGATGGGTGTGGGTAGGGAAGGGAATTKACTTTGCTGCCATTGGTGACCCTCAAGGTATTACACATGCATGGGAAAGGCAGGAGATGACCACCCCAGCTTTCAGGAATGTCCTAGGGAGCACATTTTCTGGAAAGCAAATGGAAAGACAAKAAATAATACCTTTTCCAGCAACTTCTGAGCCTTCTCTCCTGGCAGCAACCGTAGGCCAGCTGTGGCTTTCAGGACCAGAGGAGTAAACTTCCACAGYTCCATAGGAACTTCCTTCTTCGCCACCTCCAGGAGCTCTTTTATTCCCTGGCCACTCTGTGAGCAGAGAAGGAACAATAAAAGGCATCTTAAAAACTCTTTTGGAAGGGCAAAAAATTGATCAGAGCTACAGTCTATTGTAAATGCGAAACAGAGATAAATTAATATCACAAGGGGTCAGGAGAAATATTTAGAACTTATAATCTCCTACAGCATAAGGCCTAGTGAATAYAATGGGAATTATCAAGCCACAGGTCCCAACCAGAAAGAATCACTTTTTCAAACAGTGAAACAAAACTCTCATTAAATGTTTTGGCTACAGAAGGCTTCAAAAGGCACTATGATAAATTCTTGGGAACTGAACAAAGAGAAGAAGCTTTTGTAAAACACTATGAGCTGGGTGTAAGTCTGGCTCTGGGTGTCCCTAAATCCTTGCAAGCTAGAAGGGTGAGACAGGAAAGAAGTCACTTAAATTACCTTTTCAACATCATCAGCATATGCAGACAGACCCGGTTTCAGTGCTTTGAACGTCTCATGGGTTAATCTGGGAGTCTCTGTTCAAAAGCARTATACCAAAGTAAGTAATGGTACAAATGATTTTGTGCACGCAAAGAGAAAACCATTTTAAAATTTATGTTATTATGTGCTAACAGAAGTCAATTGAAGCCTCTGTTTAATGAACTATTAAGAGCCACCTGACCTTTAAATATAGCCCTGGCTGTGGAATTAGAATCTAAGAAAACCACTTTTAAAGTCATGGCTGGTTGTCATATTGGTGTCCCGTGTGCACATCAGTCACCAGATGGGTGCAACTCTCTTTGAGGTCTAACAGCAGCTTTTCAAACTGCACCTGTAAAAAAAGTCCTCACGTTTCAGCCTGCTCTATTCTGGCTAAACTTGACTCCAGCAAAACCTAATGACAGCATTTCCACTATTTTCAACGGCAGCAGAGGGATACAGACTTGAGTATTTTGGAAACCCTGCAGTATCTTATATGAACCTACACTCCAGAAAGCACTGTGTTCCATAAAGTTTGCTGCAATATATTCTGAAACTGTGATTCAAACAAAGCAGGCAAGRAGGAAGCAAAGACTTGGGGATATACTAAAAGAAGGAAATCTGTGGACTGYTGTTTAACACCTTGGGTGGCTGAGCCTTACACCAACCAGCCCATTATGCAAACCTAAAGTGCTCCCCAGAGGCCAATCACACCATACACCACACTGCTAATCCTTGAAAGAGCCTTTAGATCACCCACTAACAGCACCCACACAGGTTCTTTGATCTTTAAGAGTTTCACAAACAGGAGCAGGCAACATATGAACAAATGAACCTATCTATTCCAGAGAAAAACTGGAGCTTTTTTGCACACTTCTTTCTCACTTCTCAGTAGTTTCTGTCCAGATGCAATACACAGCAATTTTAATCAAACAATTTCCAATTTTTGTTTTGTTTTGCAGTTTAAAGCCAACACTGAAACCAAGCATGCACTAAACCAGACACTGTAGAGAGAGGCAGCTTACTGCCAGGAACTGGAAACAACCAAAAAATTTTGAGGAAATAAGGCAGTTTGAATTTATAATTTTCTTTCCACCAATGTGATGAAAAAATGCCCTTCTTCAAGCCACTACTCTAAAAGTTCAGCTGCTATTTAGTTCATATTATAACATTACAGCATTTTTCTCCTTCTTGAACATTTTCATAATTTCATCCAAACACACGTGCCTGAATCAAAAAACCTACTGATACTTCTCTGGAATGACCTGAGGCATGTTTTTTCAAGGAATCCCTAGAAAAAGGTCATCAATAATCTGCTCCATATTATGGAAGACTTCATCTGTCATGCAATGAGCAGGACATACCTCTTGGCTGCTGTGCAAATTTAAATATATGGATKCGAGTTCCCGTGCTTCCTGCATCAAACATAATTCCATAAAAGACTGAGAGATCTGTGGTCAGTGCCTGATGGGTCAGTTTATCTCCCCTGCTTTCAGCAACTCCTTCCGTGGTTCCCACAAACGCTTTGGAGCCCAAGTGCCATTTTATGTAAGCAACATAAACAGCAATGCATGTCAAAATCCCAAAAGCGAAGAACCGCTTTGATATCTTCATGGCTTCCATTTGATGGGATGTTTTAYTTCTTCTCTTTATCAAGTGGTCTATTCTTCTGGTCCTTCACGCAGAACAGGTGGCTCCTGCATCACTCCTACATCCAACAGAAGAGAAAAGATTTGTTTTATTTTCCCAACCTGATAAAAGGATTTAAAAGTATGGTAAGTATGAAAATTATGACATAGACACCACTTTCCCAACGAACAGAAGGAATAGAGCCTCCTTTAGTATGGCCAGTGAGTTCCACAGCTCACTTTAAGGCACAGAGCAGCACAAACCTTCCTTCCTACCATTGCTACAAAGGCCTAACAAGGCACAGAATGGGAGTTCARAGAAGCTAAATGCAGTAACTGAGGTGGAAGGGGAGTTCAGGAGGTTTCTCATCCAAAGTCCTGCTCACAGCAGGGGCAGCTGTTGGGCCCCTTCCTGTGGCTAAGGGCTATATCCAAGAATATTTTGAAAAACTCAGAGGATGAAGATCCCACAGCTTCTCTGGGCAGTTATCTTTGTTAGTTCCTGGATGGTGAAGGAGGTCTCAGAAGGCTGGACAAAGACAATTTACAATTAACATTTAAAAGGCAAGATGGAAGATCCAGGGAATTGAGTGCTCTCCTCCCCCACCTCCAATACCAGGAAAGAAACTGCAGCAAAGCACAACCCACAAAATCAACAAGCCCTCACATTGCATCATTCAGATGATTAAAAAGCAGTCAGTGATGATATATGGGGATAAAACTTACATATTTTTTTTTCTTTTTTTGATAGAGCAAAGAAGAGAAAGCAAACCAATTGATGAAGTTGAATTAAACAAGGTTTTTGACACACATGTAATCTGCTGATACGAACTCAGGGAGCATAAAGAAGGTGTGAAGGGTTGGAATTTAAAATCAAGGTGATTACAGCATATTTGCAAAGACAGATAAGACAAAATTTCACAAAAATGAAGGAAAACAAAATCACAGGCACAAATACACACAAAGAATAGACCAGCTTAAGGGAAAGGGAACTGTAGACTGTCATCACAGATGATTTTTCTGTCTACAGACAGAAAATCACATCACAGACACAGAAATCAGGAAGATGGCATGGCAAATGAAAATCTTTTTGGGTTCTATCAGCAGGCAGAGACACACAGGTGGCGATCACTCCGATCCCGCCGGTGCCAGGAGGCCTCAGCTGCAGCCACACCAGAGCYAAATGCCACAGCAGGGACCGGCTGATCCTTCCAGGAGACACATCCCCACCGCAGGAAAAGCGGAGGCTGGGAGAACGAGGAGGCACAGCAGCCTGGAAGCGCTACTGGAGAGAATCGCGACCGTCCTTTCTCTGCTTTTGTCAGGGCACGCCAAGATTTGCCGCATGGGAAAAGCTTCCCGCCGGAGCCTCGGGGTGTCGGGCACAGCCCGCGGCAGCGCGGGCCCGGCCGGCGGGGTGCCCTCCGCTCACACACCGGCCGCTATCCCGCTGTTCACCCACGCTTCCTCCCTCTTTTTCCCTTTCCCTCATCCCTCATCCCTCCCTCGCTGCCGCACTCACGCCGCCCCCTCAGGCCCCGCCATGGCGCCGCCGGCTCGCGCGCGGCCCCGCCCCCAGGGCGCAGGCGCGAGGCGGGCGCGCGCCCCCGTGAGGGGAGGGACGGAGGGGCGGATCCGGCCGGGGGGATCATCTGCGAAAATGTGCTTAAAAAAGGAAAAAAAAAACCGGCTAAACGCCGCAAAATCAGCAAGGTCAGAGGAAACGGTGTTGGAAAATGTAGTATGTGTGAAAATTACCYTGATTCAGCTAGCATCACTTCAGTCAAGGACACCCTGGAGCTAACAAGCTCTAAGGATGAAGTGATGMGKGATGATTTTTKSCYTTTYYTTTWWMA